TAATGTTGCAGATTGCATTGTTCCTTAACTTCGAATTGGATCCGGCTTATTTTTTGCAGACTGTTAGAGCAATTTTAAAAAGTAAGCTTGAACTTGATTATGTCAAATAGAATTTCCATGCTGGATACTGCCAAGATCTACAAAGCAAAATGTTTGATGTCCATTAACAAAAAGGGAACGCAAAAAATGGATAAAAGCATATCCTTTGTTTCTATACCATCCGAAATCTGTTTATCAATTTCACGATGCTCTGCGTGGGGGGGACGTCGCGGCGGCAATGAACTGGAAGTTGATCTGTCAGCACTATCGTTATCTTCAGGGCAGATGTTTTATTTTAGTCGGCTTATTCCTTACTAACGTAGTTTTCTCTCGATCTCGATATGATTTAAATTTCCTCCTCATTATAAATATCAATACAATCAAATAGTTTTCTGGTTGCAATTTCTAATTTCGACTATGCGTAATGTATGCTTTACGCATGCGCGCGTTGAAAGAAATGTTTAATAAAGTAAAAAATAAATATTAGCTTTTTTTTTTTTGTAAATTTTGATACCCTTAGATCATAATTGTCTTATTTATAATTACGTTTCATATTTTTAATTTTATGATCTGCATGCATCTTACCAGATTTAAAATGATGATCTATAATGCGGAAAAATCGATAATCCGGAATCAAATCCCGCGAGTCGGATAAAGACTTTGACTGTATTAGATTTTTTAAAAAATTCTAATACAGGTATTTTGTCATAAAATGGGAATTTTTCTGAAATAACATACCAATTTTTTTTCCATATTTTGATTCTACAACTCAAATTATGCCTAAATATTAAATTTTGTAAAATTTGGTGTGAAATTTATGGAGAAATTCAATAATGTAACTTGCCATAATTTTGTCAGTTTGAGCCAAAAATAATTCACTTGGCAAACTTCTTAATATATAGCAACCTATTTTCGTTTCCCTTCCATTGTGCAGGAACAGAAGAAAAGTCATACCATTCCTACCTTTTTACATTGTGGATGAGCGGAAAAAAAGTCAAATTGTTTCTAATTTCAAATAATTTTTAACAAAGTGCATTACCAAATTTTCATTATTATCGCTTTCAACAAATAAGCCAAATTTCAAAACGTGTCAATATATAAATTCACGTATATTCTTTGTAAATTTTGAATAAAAAGCTCTAATTTTTTGCAGGTATGCTTAGAAATACATCTACTTTAAGGTGATTGTAAAAATTTTATAGGTTAAATTCGATTTTTTTAACATTTAAAAATTATTTAAAAATACAAATTTAAAATAATCATAAAAAGGGTGAATTTATTTGGAATCTACTGAATTTCGAATGTGAGGAAGAATCAAAAAGTTATAAAAAAGAGAGATAATAAATATTACAAATCAATTAGGCATTGAGGAGCTAAAATTTTGAGAGCTAATTTTTTAAAAACTACTCACGCAATTTTTACAAAACTTACGAGTCTGGCATAATTTGAGTCGTAGAATCAAAATATGGAAAAAAAATAGGCATGCCATTTCAGAAAAAGTCCTATTTTGTGTCAAAATACCTAAGTTAGAACAATGCTATATATAATTCAAATATATATCCTAAGTCACACTTTCAAGACATGAAAAATGCAGTTTGAATTTCATCAATCAGCCCAATAGAACGAGAGCTATAGAATGGTCCCCCCATTTTTTGCACAGTGTACATAGTCAAAGAGATAGGTAAGTTGATATGGTACTGATATTGCTAAATTAGAGAGATACTGTTTAACGTTAGCTAATATATTCAACCAGGGTCTATTAGGCATACATGGACATATACATAATTGCTTACCTTCAAAATATATAGACATGATCTCTGAAAAGGAAATAGTTCCTTTTCCCTGAACCCTATTTGCATGGAAAATTATGCAGAATTAACATTAAATAGAATACTGAACCACTGTAACTTTGAATTTCATGACTAACTACCCATAAAAATGTTTTGGAAATAAAATTTTATAAATTTTGTCCCACATTTATTTACTTTTTTTTTTTTTTTTTTTATGAAATGGTTTGTTTATCAAATGTTTTTAAAAATTTAGTTCTTAGAGATTTTTGAAAAAATTGGAAAGTTTACACTTTTCAGCTCATGTAATTTTTAAATCACTGTGCATCTTAAAATAGATTTTTCAAGCCAAAGATAATTCCTTACCGCAGTCTCTTCCTTCATCACTGTAGTCACCACAATCATTGACACCATCACACAGCTTGCTTCTGCTAATACATATATTATTATGACACGCAAACTCATCTTCTTTGCAAGATACAGATGCTAGAAAAATTAAAGAATAATTTATACTATAGCATTTTACACAGCTTTACTATTTACTAAATTCTGAAATCTGTAGAAGTTCACACTGCAAATTCAGGCAGGAAAAAAAGAGAGATGTCAGAATTTATATACAATCCATACAACAATTTTAAAAGGCATATAATGACAACAGCAATCTAAACCAGTCAATGCAAAAGAAATTTTGCTTTTCTCTATGTCAGTGCTCAATATAAGACGCTTTAATTTGTGATGGACGGATGAACAAATTAACAAACCCAAACATGCACAAAATGACTGGTTACACATTAGTGACATACTGAACGCAAGGGAAAAAAATATAAATAAAAAAAATAAATAAATAAAATAAAATAAAAATAAATAATAAATAATTAAAAATCACCACTGAGTGTTATTTTTTTAGTATTCCTTCATTAATTATCTTCTTATTATTTTCTACAAATACAGCTAGTTATTACAGATCAATTTTAAATTCTTAAAATATAATTAAAGATGTGTATATATTTTCATATTAAGCAAATCAATGTACAAACCAATTAAGCAAACATGAAGAATAAACACATATTTAGGCATTTAAAAAATTTTCCATCAATATATCATTTTTCATTAATGTACACATATAGTATTTCAAAGACTGGTTTTGGTTTAGTTTATAATGGCAAAGCACACTAGTGCTATCTGCCTAAAGAGAGGGATGCCTTTGTGGAGAACTTTCTAAGGTAAACTGGCTTGTATGCATGTTACGTAAGGGAAAAACTGCAAAAATGCCCATGCAGCTAGCCCATTTCCCTGGATTCTTATATTTCAAAACTCACGAGCTAAATGTCATAAATGACACTAGTGTTACTTCACAGCTAAATCAAAGAAAAGAATAGTCCAGAAAAATGCCCTTTTAGGGATATGTATCTATAGAGAATGGAGGAAATTTATTCAACATTATAACTATTCTTCCTTCTTATATTTTGAATTGCAACATTAAGTAAGTTCTAGAGATGCCAGCCTTTGAGGAGAGCTATCATAATATTTAACTGAATTTATGTCATGACACTCAAGTATTCCAAGCTTGGAAGGATGGGATTCAACAGCATACACTGGATGTTACATCACATAAAGGCACATAAATAATAATTCCGTACATTTTAAAAATAAAAAAATAAGATACATTTCCCCCACATCATTGTCTCTGCCCTGCCAAGTCAACTTTGTTGCAGCCAACTCTTCATGGCTAAATTATTCTAATGGCAAACACTGTTGTAAGTAAATGACTTCACTTTCTGCACAAGAACTGCATTCAAAATATTACTTTGCTGAACTTTCCAAATCTGCACAATGGAGTTTTGTCTTGCAATCTCAAGATATTGTGCCATGCTTTATCAGTTCGAACTGCACCAAGAACTTCAGATACTGGTACAGGTACAAGCAGGCAGGGCATCAGAATTTTATAATTGGTCAGAAAATCAGAATTTCTTAATTGGACATCAGAATTTCATAATTGGTAGAGGTATACTCTTGCCACACTAACTGTGCAGCAAAATCATAAACTGCTAAGTTGCAAATTCAGTTTCAAGTTGATCAGCATCATTAGGCAGGTTTTTCAAGAATGATGTGCTGATCTGGAAGAAAATCAAACTTTCTCCTTTTCACATAAACATCCATCAGTTCTGGATGCTTCAGAAATTCATTGTCAATAATGTTGATGAGCATTTTCTTGAGAATGTAGTCATAGCTTGCTTTGTAAAATTCCCTTATAATGGAATAAAATAAACCTATCTGGGAAAATGTAAGTTTCCTTTTTGGAAAGTAAGAATTCCAAAGCAACAATCATCAGGTGAGAATCATCTTTCTGGTTTTTTCTTCACTGAAAATCAACATTAAAAATTGATATATCATCAATACTGGCCTTAAAAACTGTAGGTTTAACAAATCTTACCATTCAAAACAAATTTCATCTGGAGAACATGTATTTTGGGAGTTTCTTGTAGAAGAAATATAATAGAAACAAAAAAATGGAAGGGTATTACTGAAGGCTGGACAATAAAGTTTACATGCATGATTTTCTAGCAGTGACTTAATGTTAAGGAACTCTGAAATAGAAAAATAAAAATTTTCATTGGAAGAAAGTGTCCTAAACTAGGGAACGCAAACTTTTTATTACGACATAATTCAGAAATGCGAAAGTTCGTGGGGGCTATGATAAAAACATATTAAAACAGTATTAATTTATATAGTATAAAAGTTGTTATGTTTTAACAATTTGTTTTGTTATTTCAAAAACATTCATGAAAAAAATGATGCTACAGCACTTTGTTCATAAATGTTGCTAAGAAAACTAGAATTGTTGCTGTTGTGCAACTGAAATAAGTTGTTGACACATAATCAGCTGAAATGCAATCATTTTCAGTACCAACCATCACAAAAGCAATGTTTCCTGTATCTTTCTTTTCCTTATTTTTTAATTTGAAGAGAATAATGCATGCATGAAATTCAAATTCCCAAAATGGCAAGTTTATATATGAAGAGACATTATGAACATAAAGCTTAGAGTGGCATGGTTGGATAGAATACATGTCAATAATGGGAGACAGAAATAGTTCACTGTATGTAGAATCAGATGTTTCTAGCAGGTGAAAATTGATCCATCTAACGATATATTCATAGCCAGATGTCACTATGATTCAGTTTTCGGCAAAAGGTTAATTGTACAATCCGTTCAACTGTTAAAATGGCAAAGATGAAATAAGCACATGTATTAAAATTATGAGTGTTGCCCAAATATCTAAAATTTAGAATCTCGATTTATGAATATTGCAAGTGAAGGCAACACAGTCTCCCCAAGGTATATACTTCAGAGTAAAATCATTGTTCAAGACATTAAAAATTCCTTCTCCAGAATTGCCAGTGTATTCCAGCAATGACAATAGTGATAAGTATATTTGGACTTGAATTCAACTGCAGTATGAAACAACAAACACTGGAATTTTACAGAACTCTATTACAACTTGAATTACCAACAGTAGCTGAGGCCAACAGAGCAATCTGCAACACCTGAACAGGATTCTTTCTCCTAGAATTTGCTATGTACTTTAATCCTTTTTGCTGATCTAGTATATCCAATAATTTAGCAGTCTAATTAAGATATACACTTAAATCCTATCTAGTAATATCTTTTCTTGTAGAATTTGCTATGTGCTTTAGTCTTTCTAAAAGCAATTTTTTTGGCTATGGCAGAATCGGGAAATGTTAATTCAAAATAAGAATTCACAAAGTCAGCACATGCATTTGAAATAATATGTCTCACCAGAAATGATGAAAATAAATGCTGTGTTTATAACCAATTGTTGAAAATTTTTTTTATGGAAACACTGATACTGCCTTTGAAGTTATCTTATTTTCACATCATTGTGCTGTTTGTCTTGCAGTACATGATACCTGCAACTGTCACAGCTGCTACTAGAGGCAGAAAAACTACAATTGCACACAAAATGCATGATTTTCTGAAAATTTTATAGCCAGTAAGCATGGCCATTCTTTACTAAAACTTTGCATTTTTGAAGAATTCTTTGTCTTTTTGAAAGCAACGTGGTAAATTCATCAGAACAGTTTTTAATAAAAATACACACCAGAATCTATGCACGTGTTTACAGTTTCAATATGCAACTTACCAAATTTGATTTTTTGTAGCAATTTTTTTCCACATACATAATTCCATAGTAAAAGGTAAAAATCAGTAATAATTATGGAAAATTTATAATAGTTAGAATTGCTACATTTCATTATTTCTTACATTATTTTTCTGTAACACAAACTGATAAACTAATTTTTAACAGAAATGTAAAAATACTTACTGTTCTGACTGCAAGTTCCATTTTGTAACATTACACTCCCATTGTAACAAGAACAAATTTCAGATCCATTGCTTAGTTTAGTCTTTACAGCCCAGTCAGGGCAAAGACAGACATGATTACCATTAGGATACGGTACACAAAAATGGCTGCAGTTACCATTCGTGGGACCACTACAAGCATTTGAACCTAAAAGTATATAAAGAAATATAAAGTTGTTTCAAAAGAATAAATTTAATTTAAATACAAATTTAATTAATTCTTTGCACCATTGCTGCAAGGAATGGAATTTAAATTTAAACAAATTTAAATTTTACAAACATGTATATACGTTAAAATAGCACATTAAAGTTTAAAAACTTTTTAAAAAAATGTGCAAACATATAAGATTTAATTTTAGAACTAATCTACAATATCATTTAAATTCAGATAGCATAAGTAAATCAAGTGCAAAACCAAACAACAATGCAAACTAAACTTCACCAATTTAGCAATTATTAAAATTAATTTAAAAACTTTTAAAAATGCATAAGTGAATTCTGTTGAGCAGCAGGAGAAAGCTTAAAGGGGAACGTTGCCTCCAAACCCAAACTCTCATTCATTCAATTCATGTTTCGTCATGCATTTTTTGGCTCTTGAGTTCGGAAACCTGAAAAAGATGATTCTGTAATTATAATAATGTTGATGAGCAAGGTTTAAAGTCAAAACCAAAGTTAAAGAGTTGAAGAATGTCAAAAGACATCCAATAAATGGTACCTAGAAATTACGCATATTAATAAAAATTAAAGTTCTAAAAAAAAGGGGGGGGGGGGGGGGGGGAAAAAAATATAAATGAAGTTTTATTAAAGAAATTAGCAATGTAAAGTTAGTATTAAATTAAAACTTTTAAAAATTAATAAATTGAAAAAAAATAATTTTCAGGAAAAATTAATTTAGAAACCATTCATTTTAGAAAACCCTTGTCTACAGAAACCTCCGTGACACGAATATTGCCATATCAATTAAAAAAGGAACTAGACCATAATTTATATAAAACCAATAAGAAACAAAAATAGAAAATAATTCATTAATTTATAAAACAAATTATATTTAAAAATATATTTATGTATATAAACTCATTAGGTTACCCTTTTCAACACACTTTAAGTAAAAACAATGATAAATTAATCAAAGCAGAGCTTTAAAAAAAATTAATACTTAAAATTATGGAAGAAAGTTTTTTTATATTTAATTAAATGCTCAAATGAGAGATTATTTCACTTCATTAAAAATTTCTATTATACTGTATGCAGCATAACTGAAGAGGAAAACATAATCAATGCAAAGAAGGCCCAACATGCAGGATATTAAAGCAACAATCTGTGACACATATTTTAAATAATGAAGATGTTATATCAACAAAAATTCATTGCAAGATGGAAGTTAGCAAAGGCCTTGGACATTTTATTGGTGAAAGTATCACGTTGTCCAGCTTGGTCCCCCATTTGAATATTTTAAACTACCCATGCCACACAGATATTATAAATTTACAGACATTCCATCTTTTTCAGGGTTCGAACTCAGAGCCAATAAAATGGCAGACAGCTTCCTTACTTAGAAAATGCTGTACTATGAAATTTCAAACACAGTTACGTGATTCTCCAAAAAACAGCAAATACTTTATAAGCTTTATTCTTAATAATGCAATTTATGTCTCCCATGTAACCCAGAATTTTCTTACCAAAATTTCCCTTCTCTGCAAGAAGGCTGACTGCTTTATCTGACTTGCTTAATAGAAAATGCCATGCTTAGTAATAAGCTCTCACTTTCCACTGGTAATATTTGTATCTAGCATCATTTCTCTTTCTGTAATAATATAAGGGCAATTTTATGGTGAATATAGTCTGTGGAGAGTAACGACTTTCTTCAATATAGTTTCTACATTTTTGATACTCTGCTTTAAGTTCTAGCTAATGAAACTGACGAGTTGCCGTGAGGACTATGAGAAAAATATATAAAATAAGGCAACTATAAACATCTAGCTTTAACTTTCATTATTCGCTCTGACTGAACGTGAAACAAATTAACTTTCACAGCAATAAATGATTCTAACAATTTGTTTAGAATTTATGAAAAATAAAGAAGATTCATACTATTTCTTATTATCAGTATGGGATTTCATATTACATTATAGAAAATCATATTACTTCCCATTATGAGACATTTTTCAGTAAAAAGGGGAAAAGATATTTCAAAGTAAAGTTTAATATATTAATAAATAAATATAGAAAATGCATCTACAGACAACTTCTGATGACCTGAGTGTAAATTAAGAAAGCCTCTCTCGCTCTCACACACACAAAAGGTTCATTACACAATGAAGGAAAAAAATTTTAAACTATAAATGAGAAAAATAAGAAAAGAGTTACAGGAAAGACAAAAAAGAAAAAGAAAAGTGCTTGGGATAATAACAGTAACAGCAGATGATGTCCAAATATCTGGAAGTTGTTTTTCATTCTCAACAATACATAATTTATTCATTATGCAATTTGGAACTTATAAAGACTGAACAGCAAAAATCAAAGCATTCTGACAATTTTATGCGAGTTTAAACTCAAGTTTTCTTATACATATTGTTCTTTAAAGCCATTTATTTCCATATTTACTCACATATTTTTCCCCTTCACTTTTTACCACAAAGTTCTGAAAACTTTTAAAGTATTCATGGATTTTTTCCCCTCCTTTAACCCATTCAGGACCAACATCACATAGGCACAACACAACACTTCCACTCTTATCAGACCAGCATCACTTACATGGGAAGAGCTATAATCAATCTCTTTAGCCCAGTGTCTCGGACACGTAACTTGAAAACAGAATGATATTTTTGAATTTTTAAATGCCAGTAGATGGTGCTAAATGGTAACAGTTTTCACATCGGTTAAGTCATGTGGCTTTTGACCTAGATGTATGAGCATCAGTTTCTTTTCTGTGCTCCTCATTTTGATAGATTTATTGATGTAAACAAACTAGGAGTCACGGCTCTTTATGTTAAAGGGATACCGGCATGTTTGCTTATTTTGTTAGAAATTTCATTGTTAGCCCAGAAGGAATATTAATTTCGTTTTGGCATTTTGTGTAGAAAACTTCAAATGTCCATTTCACTTTTTCAGTTGTTGCCAACAAATATTATTGCTACATGTTATATTTAAAGAAATTGCATAATGAAGAATCTGCATAAATGTATGTATGTTTCTCGCACGGTCATAAAACAACGGTACCTGGAGCTATCAAATTTTGAATAATGTAATCCTCCACCGAATATGGGCATCTGGAAGTCCTAATTTAGAATTTGTTTAGTTATCGATTTCATATTTTATTAAACTGCTCAAGAACGCGGGTAATTTTTCTTTACCTAATTATACTATGGATATTCTTTTTTACATTTTTCATAAATACCCTCTGATTAACCATGATTTTGAGTTAATAACAGATGTCAATCCAAGTAAAACCTTAGGAAAATTGAAAGCTGCTACAATGTTTTGTCTTATTTTCAAAGAGCAATTTATAAGGCATTTGAAAAATAATGAATGTCACAAGAGAACAACTTTAATTATGTAAGTATTTAATAATAATTTAGTACCATTTTCCATCTTTTCCAAATATTGCTTTAAAAAAACTTTAATTATTACCTTTCTGAAGGCTAGGAGCAAAGACCTTCATATCCATAGCTCTATCATCGGTAGTAATTAACGCATGCAACCCTGATCCATCATGTTTGTTGGCCATCATAATCATTTGTTTGTTCCAGTCATCAAAGTATATCCAGTCCTTAAAAAAAGAAAAAAAAAAAAAAAAAAAAGAAGACATAAAAGATGCATTTTCTCATTCATTATTATTAAAGTACAGTGAATATGATAAATGACTATCAGATGGGAAAATACAGAGTTATTCAAAAATCTGTGAAACATTTTAAAAATTCATAATCAGTAAATAATGCAACTGCACCAAATTTTACATTGAAATACAAGAAAACTTGGAAGACTTTTCCCCTTCATATTTTGCAAATGCTCAGGGTATTTCTGCTAACACAATAGACATCTATGAGATAATACATTTCATATACATACTCACGCCTTGTGCAGGGCCTGACTTAATTTAATTGGGGCCTGGTGGCCCCCGTCTGCTTCACAGGGTTCGTACACATTTCTGCACATGGAAATTAAGTACTTTTAAGGAACATTAATGAAAAAAATTAAGGACCTATGAGCAAATGAGAACTGACTAAATTCAATCAAAAATATTATCTATGCCTGAATTTCACTTTTGTAATACCATTCTAAAAATAAAATAGATCTTTAAGTAGTATGCATTATTACTAAACATTAATTAACACAATGATTAATTTTTTGAGAATAAAATAAACTTTATGCAATTTATCATGTAGCATTTAATATTTTACACTTATAATAGTTGGACATACTTGAAAGAAGATAAGTGACATTTACGTTTTAATAACAGTTAGCTTTATGTTGATTTATTTTTATGTCTCATTTTGTCACACACTTGGTCAGTCTAGAGGTTTAGTAAGTAGCAGGTAGATTTTTATGTCAAATGGCATAGATTAAAATGAGAAGTAAGATCATAATCAGCATGATTCATAACAAAAGACTGAATGTTGTCACTGCTGCTGCTTGTCTAGAGAGAGACCTGCTGATTACAACTAACCAGAAAGGCCTCATGTAGGCACGGTTGGCAAGTGTTGAAATTTAGCCAGGCTCTGTTTGATGCAGTTACTGTCGTAGCTTCATGTAGAGTTCCAGGGGTTGTAACCCAGTTAATATACTTTAAGGTTCCAGTATGCCATTAAAGCACCAGAGGTGATAAGTTGTTTTGTATTATTTTAAGTCTCACTGGATACAAAGAATAAGTTTTACTTGAATTTTTACATTTTTGTGTTTTATCTTGTGACCACAATGAGTATTAATGAAAGGCAATAACTCGCTTTAATATGTAGAGATAATTTTTAAGGGTAAGCAACTATAAATAATTAAATTAGGTAGTTAGATAACTTTAGTCACTATGGATTTACATTGCCACTATTAAATTTTATTTTTTTTTAACATATTGTTTAAAAAGCCCTATTAAAATCAAAATCTAATAAAATTTCACAGTTTGAAATACATGTAATTTATGACATTGATTCTTAAACAATATTAGGATATTATGTACATATATTATGTTTATGTACATATATTATGTTTTGTAACAACAACACTCAACAAAATATTTATCCGTCATTTTAATTTGAAGCCTTTCCAAACATTTTGGCTAGTTTATATCGATTTCCTTCTCTTTAAGCATATTTTCTAACAATTAGAAATTTGAACTAGAAACTAGAAATTTGTCGCAATATGCAAGCTAATGTTTGCTTCTCACTAGTTTCTTGCATGCTTTATCACCTAACTTGTCTACCTCTCCACAATGCAGCATATGAGGGTTTACTTGATCTGGTTAAAAGTTAAATAGTACCAAAACCTCCACACAGATATGAGGCAAATTATCGCTACATGTTTGAAAGTAACTTACAATATCAGACAAAGGTTTAAATAAGCCTCTTAATTTAAAAAAGAACTTAGAACATAAAGGCATGTTCTGATGCTAATCAAAATCATTTAATCAAGAACAGTCACGGTGACGTAATTGAACTAAACAATGTGGGCAACAGTGGTCAAAGACTATACAAACTAAATATGGTGAACTAGTGGTCAAAGATATACAATTTAATTTTAATTTAATCTGGCTCAGTAACTCTATCATATGAGGAAATAGAAATGGAGAATTATAGTAAAGGCTGAAATCATAAACAATTGGGTAACTTACATAATAATAACTGCACATATCTTTGAATTATGCATTCTTTCTTTACGCATTCAGATTCTTTCTTCAACATGTTTCTTTTTTATTTTAGAATTTTTGGATTTAATTAAGGATTTCTGTCGATCTAAAAAGCACTAAATGCATTTAGAATGTATCGAAAAAACGGCTAATTTTATTTCTTTAGTAATATGAACATTCAGAAGAAATATGAAATATATATGGTAAAGCAGGCCAGTTACAGAGCTGGTGTGGCAGAATTTTTATAATTTATTGATACACCGAACGATATAATCTAAAAATGGCAAAACTTTAAAAATTTAGAGCAGACATTGGAAGCAGAATTTAGTCACTAGGCAGCAAAATTTAAGATCCACAGAGATTGCATCAGGTGGGGAAATACCTAGTGCCAGCTCTGTTTATGATGCATTACGACATATTAGATGAATTTTTTAAATTGTCAGTTTTCAATTTCTCTATTAATAAAAAAAATCCCTTTCTATAATGCCTGCCCATGTGATAAGATCAGAAGCACTTTTGATATTTTCTATGCTTGTGTCTAGGGAAAAGTAGAGAAAGTAAAGGGAAGATAAAATGTTAAGAAAAAGACTTCTAGTATCAGAAGTAAAAACATTCAAATATTATGTTTTCATTGTTCTTCCAGACGCTCTCCAAAAAGTAAAAAATTCATAGCAAACTTTATGTAAAATACATCCATTACATATTGATACCATGGAGACATTTTAAATTTTGTCACATATTTCTCAAATCTTCTAGAATCATGGGTCTATAAATCTTGCCTTCAAATTCTTCTAAACTTTCCAAGCTGCAATGTCTAAAATGCTAAAGAAAAAATTATTCCTACCAATTCTGTAACAGCAAAAAGCGAGAAATATTTTGGAAAAAAAAAAAAGGAGGGGAAAAGTGTAAAATTAATTTTACAGAGAAAACTGATTCATATTCTGAGAAAATTACACGGGAAAAACTCTTACTATGAAAAAATTAAAAAGAAGACATTTTTAATTAAACACATAGCTAATTTTGCTTTTGCTAAGAGCTGTTTCTTAAATTGTGCTTTATAGCATTATATCTTGTCTATTTTTCAGATTCAAAATATTGCAAAATAAGTTGCCAAAATGAAACTTTATAATATGACAGCGAATAAAAATGTTTTATTCTAATGTTATTTTTTAAATATAATTTCAATATATTACCATTACTTTAGTGAAATTTGTCAATGTTACAATGTTTAAAAAAAAATCATCTAAAAATTTTTCTATAGAAATTGATCTTAAAATCGCCAACATGTTGATAAGTCGCCAAATTTAGAGCCGTTTAATAAAAGAATTTGCATCCCCAAAAGCGAAACGTTGTTTAAGAGCTCTTTATTAGGAAAAATGAATTTCAAAATACTCATGTTTCATTTCTTGCTTAGAAACTCAAGTATCTCATCATTTATATTAGAAATGGAAACAAATTATAACCCATGAACCCAATCAAAAGATAACCATATGTGTCAGTGAATCACCAAAAAATATTCCTCCAAAATACTAATTCACACTCAAAAATGGCAGTCATAAAAACAGACAGAAATTTCAGATGATTAAAATTAAGGACCTGCTGCTGATTTGGGCCAAAATTCAGGACTTTAAAGACCAAAAATTGATTCCAAAAAACCTAAGGACTTTTAAGGACTCTTAAGGACCGTACGAACCCTGCTTCACTAATGAAGAACCAAACTTTATGGAAGTATTTAAATTTTTCACCTCATTATAGATATATAACAAGAAAATTTGACTGGAATCTAAAATTGCTATAAAGTCCCCCTCTAATGGTCAGACGAAATATCGTTCTGTCCATTTTATTGATTTTCTAACAATTGTATGTTCATCATTAAAAGGATTATAGCACATCTGAAGAGCCAAAATTTGATATTTTGTTTAAAAAAAGTTCATTAAAGAAGGAAACATAAAATAAACTTTCTAATCGATTTGGCGGCCCCCTCTGATATAGGATTGAAGGAAGTTATCATCACTGTTTTCACTCAGCAGTGACATAGCCACAACTGAATAACTCTTGCATATCTATTGTGTCCAAGTAAATCCAACTCATGACCAATAAACATCTGTTGTATGAAAGTTGCTATTTGGCAACAGACATGGCAACAGTAAGTGCTGCTAGGAGACTGCAATATATTATAATAGAAAGATGGATATTTTTAACCATAGCTTCTTCAGAACACTTTGCCATTTTAGTGTAAATTGTGTTGTTCATAGTAAATTGAAAAATTCATTTCAGGCAAAAAATGGAATTGACTCGTAAAAACTTTCATGCGATTATTTTTCATAACTTTTGACATGGATTATCAAGACAAGAGTGCTCAATTGAACTTAATTCTTTATACAGTGATAAAGCACAATACTATAGTACTGTAAAAAACTGGTATAAAAAATTCAATCATGGTCAACATTCGCTCCAGGAAGAATTCCGTAAAAGTCATTCAAAATCGTTTGTAGCGCCAGAAAATATTGATGCCGTGCGTTAACTGATAAAGCAAGATTGTCATGTGACTCACCATGAGATTGAGGTATCTTTGTGCATTAGTATGACAAAGCATAAGATACTACATGAATATTTGGCCATGAAAAAGATTTATTCGTGTCGGATCCTGCATAATCTGAAAAACGCTCACAAGAAGGCTCACGTCGATTAGTGCAAGGAAATAATGGAAAAATATGCTCAATATGCATCAAAGGCTATGTATAACATCTACACAGGTGACGAATCATGGATCAATTGCATATGAGCCTAAACAAAACAGCAGTCGACCGTATGGGTCTTCCAAGACAAGCCAAATTCAACAAAAGTTGTTCGCGGAAAAAGCACATCAAAGAAAATGGTTGCCTGTCTTTTCAGCATTACTGGTCAAGTGCTGACAGTGGCGTTACAGCAATGTAGGACGGTCAATTCCGAACGATAAATCACCATTTGTTTGTCAGAAGACATCAAGGAAATTCAAAAAAAGCAGAAGAGGTGAATCATTCTTCATCATAACAATGGAAGCTCTCACACATTGGCTCAAACAAAGGAATTTTTGATGGGCCAAAACATTGAATTGATGAGCCACCCACCATACAGCCCTGATTTGGCAACCGATGACTTTTTTCATTCTCTCACATCAAAAATAATTTACTTGGCCAGGGATTTGCAACACGTGGAGAAGCGGCTGACACATTTCAAAATGCATGTTTTGGAGTTACCTCAATCGAAGTGGAAAAAGTACTTTGAAAATTGATTCAAACACATGCAAAAGTGTATTGATCTTCGTAGAGAATATTTTTAAAAACAATAATACCAATTTCGAACTCATACGAGCAAAAGTGGCATGTATAAATTTTCAAAACATTTCACTGATTTATTAAAGTGTATTTAAACCTACCAAATGATTCTGGTATTTTTTATCTTTTCATGTATCTCCGTAGCATTTACAAACAAATTTGCGTAATTATTTTACTTTTCTCTATTTTCCTAATTTTCTATTAATTAATATATTTAAGACATTAAAGAAAATATGAAAGAAAAAAAAGTTCATAAAATGTTTGCTCTTTATTTACAAATTACTCTTTTTTCCTTACAAAAATGTTTGCTCTTTATTTAAATGAATTTCAGCAAAAGTACAAATTTCTATTACTTCTTGTTAATAATTAAACTTTAAAATGCTTAATACTAAAAAAAAAAAAAAAAAAAAAAAAAAAAAAAAAAAAAAAAAAAGAGGCATAAATATAAATAATGGAACTTGTCATCAAAAGTAGAACAAACATGTAAATACCCACTGACACTAGGAATTAACTCAATACAGGACCCTCTCTCTTTTTTTCTTAAACTTGTTGAATATAGAAAACGAAGGATTCAATTTGTTAATATATATCGACTTAGGAATCCAATAAATTTTTGCTGTGTATGCAGCATAAAGAAATGGAGATGCAGGTGATAATTTATCAAGACAAAGCACTTAAGCCTTTGAATGGACGCTTTTCTAAAGGAACTTTTTACAGGAAAACTAATTTGTTTTCACATCACACAAGATAAAAACTATGAAAAAAAAAAAAAAAAAGCAGGCAGCCTATTCAACCATTACAGCTGAGAATAAATTACCAGCATTTAATAGTTCCATAATTATAACATTTGTCAATAAAAGTAATGCTAATGAAATCATAATACTGTTAATACTTTAATAAATCTGCTCGAAATAAAGTCTTTTGCGCATGATTGCAACTTCGGAGCCAATGTAGTTTTAGTAGCCAAAGTCATTTTATAGACAGCTAGAATAATTGTATCTAACAACTTAAATAAACACAGTAAATTTTTAAAGCATTGAGAAATTAATGTGAAAATGAAAAGAGCATTCTAAATAAAATTAAAATGTAACTTTCACTGTATCACTGCTTTATGAGATTTCTTACACATAATCTCAATTAAGATACAATAACACGCCAAACAAATATTAATTTAGAAGTCAAACAACAAAATCAGCGTTATATTTTCAAATTTTCACAGGACTAGTTTCGATGATTTTACCAAACCATCATCCACAGCTGCAAAAGAGCAAATGCTATCATGCTGCAAATCATTTGCACTTTTGCAGCTAAGGATAATGGTTCGGCAAAACCATCGAAACTAGTCCCTGTGAAAATTTGAAAATACAACGCTGATTTTTTGTTATTTGACTTATAAATTAACATAATCTCAACTTAAATCCATAAAACTTACAAACAGAAGCACAATATAACCAAAAACTTCAATATACCTTATATATGACAACAGCAAAAGGATGAGGAATAACTTTAGACCCTTGAATGACATGCTTCATATTTGATCCATCCAAATTAGATGATGCAATATAATGCAGTTTTGCATCAGTCCAAAATATTTTATCATCTATCAAATCGATTGCAACACCATTTGGCCACTGGACAACTAATGCATCAAATAAAACCTTATAATGTGAGCCATCTAGGTATGATTTAGATATTGAAGGACTTTTTTCACTCCAATCTGCAATAAAGAGGAAGCTGAAAATAAATTAGATATTTTAATAACAAGATATTATAAAAGGAACCACTAAATTAAAAAGCATTTTGGGTATTTTATACACAAGATATAACAATTAAATAATGAGAATTTTTTTTTTATAGAACAACTTTAATGACATCAAGCTTATGCTCCTTCATAACAATACCCTGAAATTTAACATATTTAATTTTTGAAATATTCACACTTTTCTGCAAATTACAGTTAACAAACATACAGGGGTTTTCTTTATGCAGGGTAAAATTTTCATGTTCTGATTTTTTTCATCACTGAACCTATAACAAATGTATAACTCACACTACCAAATAGTTTTCATGTGATGCAATAAACTTTTCCTGAAGAATTTGAGTACAAAAGCCAGTTTTGTTCATATTGTTTTCTGTTTAGTAAATGTCTATAAAATATTGTTCTCTTAGCATACCTGCTGTGCGATCTGCAGACCACCATAGACGCAGTAAATTTCAGTTTCTGAATATCTACAGGGTGTCAGAAAGTTCCTTTACACGGGTGAATATCTACAGGGTGTCCAGAAAGTTCCTTTACACGGGCATAATAACACTTGTCCTAAACATCTGTATGTACTCCACCATTATCCTTCAGAGTTTGATATGCCTAAACGCCCTCCTATCCATCCACTTTAACAGTTGTGGTGTCACATGCTGGAAGGCTTCAAACACATTTGCTCCCAAAGCATTATTATCTGCGTACTGCTTGTTACTAACATACGAATTTGATGATGCCACAGGGCCTTTTCTGGTGTCTGAAGGTCCAGGCATCCAGGTAGCAAAGGATAAGAGCCTGGTGAATCCAAAACACTTCTCAAGCAAAAAGCTTTCTTCTCCCATGTGATCAAAATCTGATGACCTGGCAGTTCCTTACCAAACTGTTCATGAAACCTATCCATCTCCTGTATCATATTTTTACCATAGTGATTCATTCATGGATCCACAACACTTATCACTAAGCACTCCACTCCTCCAATGTAAAGTCACTGGTATTTGCCACTGTGATTCAAGCAGGTGTAAAATCAGTGATAAATGTTGTGATTTGAAATGCATGCGGCAGCTATGCAGTCAAATTATTGATCATATAGATTTATGTTAATAAATGATTGTGTTTCTTCAACATCGACATATTTTATTTAGTGAAGTGAAATTAAGAATCAGGACCTTCCACATGCTCTTTCATGGGGGGGGGTAGTCCACTGCGCATGCATAAAGCATATGCTACTCTCGGGTCCCCAATTTCTTCCTTTTCACAAAATTTTTTTTTAAGAAAAGGGAATTGCTAATGGTTGGGAGATCTGGATTTCTGACTTTTCACTCAAGGGTTGCCACTCAAACAGGAGAATAAATTTCCCTGACTCTTCCAGGCTTTCCAGGTGTGTTTCAAGAAAATTCCAGGCTATCTGCATAGTGTGCATTGACTGTGCTTAGGGTAAATTAATTATGGTACCACTTGAACCTATATATATATATATATATATATAATCCCCAAAGCATTACTTTTATAAGTATAATAGTTCTTTTCTCCACTCAGGACTGAGATTAGAATCTGCTCAATAGGGATTTAAAAATGTCTTTTCTGTAGACATTTAGCAACTAAAGGTAGAAAAATATGTATTTAATGATATTTTAAAATAAATTCAAGTATTTTGTATTTATTTAGCAGTACACATAAGTAAATATATGTGCATTAAAATTTCGTGATAGTATGTTCAAAACTGCTAGAATTAGTTTCAAAAGTATTCCAGAGAAAATTGTCTGAAATTTGAAAGTATTATTAACTAACAATAAATAAATTTAGAAGGAAGAAGACGCATTAAATGATAAGAATAACATTAAAATAAATTACTTAAGTATTAAAAACTGAATTAAACAAACGGATGGTATTTTGGCGAATACAGATACAGTCACTGGCAAATGTTTAAGACCAGTAGCCGTTTTCCTGTATTTTAACAGATGGCACCATTTTCGCTCGTGACTGCGTTATCTCATTTGTTGATTACATCAAATGCTTTCTACTGCTAAAACATAACGTGATGTCATTTATCAATAGTTCGTTATTGGATTTTGTGTACACAGTGCTGTTGTATAATTCTTGTAATGGGTAAAGAAACCTTCACTTACTGTTGAAAAACGAGCAAAAATAGTGGCCCTGCATGAAGTTGGCTTTTCAAAACATGAAACAAGTTTGAAAGTAAATGTCAGCAAGACAGCCATTCATATTTCTATCAGAAAATTCAAAATTTCAAGAAATTATGCAGATCTTAAGAGAAGCGGTCGCCCAAAAAAAACTTGTGCATGTGATGATCGTGTTATAAGAAGGAAGATCACTCGATGACCAACAATCTCCTGCAGTAAAATTAGAGCTGTTCTGGCTGAAAATGGTACCAACATCAGTTTGAGTACTATTTCAAGATGTTTGACTTAAGATTATGGTTTATTTTCCTATAAACCTGCAAGGAAACCTCGATTTACTCAAAGTATGAAAAAGGATCGACTGACTTTCGCAGACGATGTCAGACTTGAGCCGAACAACAGTGGTGTATAGGGTTATTTTCTGATAAGCGTGCAGCAATTTTCTGCATGTGCTAAATGTATTTGCCACTCATTTGAAAAAAGATAAAATGACAGATATAGATTTCAACAGTGAAACACCCACCAAGTCAGATTATATGGGGTGCAATGTCTGCGTCTGGTACTGCTGCTGTGTATTTCCTGCTATCTAAAACCACGATGAACGGCAGTCGATACCTTAATTTGTTACATGACATGTTGAAACTTCACGTGGATGTTCACAGATGTTCAATTTTCATGCATGATGGGACTCCATGTCGCAGGGCAAGGAATGTAAAGGACTATCTGAGGGCTATTCAAATCTAAGTGCTTGATTGGCCAGCCCAGATTTGAATCCCATCTGTGGTGTATTATGTGAATCTGTGGTGTATTATGACAAATGGTCGTGAAGAAGCTACCATCCAGTGCTACAGAAATTGCTTGAAGCAATAAAGCATATGTGGCGTACAGAGATTTCTCAAGCTTACTGCCAGTCTTTTTTTTATAATATGCCTAAAAGGATTGCAGCAGTGATAAAAAATAAAGGAGGTCCGACAAAATACTGATTATACTTCAATAATGTTGTAAGTCTATTTTTTTCATTTATAACATATGTTTTTGTTTTGGAATTCCAATAAATCTGATTTTTCCATGTGTGGTCTTAAACTTTTTTACACGATTGTATATCAAATAGCTAGCCCAGATGACTGAATTTTTAAAATTTTATTTTACTGCGAAATGACAAATAAGGCATTTAAGAAAGAAGAAAAAATTTATATGATTTTTTGTTTTATACAAGAATGGGAAAATTTACTTTCGTTCAACATGCACTGCACATGTGAATCTCTGGACTCTCGAGGTTACTGGAAACCAAAGATGCCGAAAACTTGCCTTGCCTTTCCTTTCTAAAACACAGTCTGATTGGCACTATGAAAATTGGCTCTACGCCAGCTGTCCGAACGATGTTCGCGTGATACATGATTTGCCAAGAAAATTATCATTACCGATGCCGCGAAAATGGCTTTTTGGAGGATTCCCTATGAAATTCCCTCACTTTTCCCGGCAGCATGGCAGCCCCATGTACTGTACAACCACTTGTCATCAAATCTGGTCTTGCAAGTACTACTCGGCACCTTAAAAATGCTTCAAAGGTTCATGATAAAAGGTTGCATTAATAGAACCCCCCCCCAAAAAAAACTTTCATCTTATATCCATTCATGTATGTGCCTATCATATGCAATGTTTGCCATATAAACCATGTTAATTTTAGACAGTTTTATACCTGATTTAATGAAAAATTTAATAAACACTTTTTACTCAATTTTATTATTAGCCATTTTAATTATTAGTGCTCCAGAAGTACTAGCTGTTATAAATCCCTAACTTCATACTCTTGAATGCTACTGTCACACAACTTGGCAAACATATACTGAGATGTATTTGCTTTCAGTACTTAATTTCTAAAATTTAAAATGCCGGAGCCCTATGAAAAGCTGCCAGGAGAAAGGAAAAAAAAAAAAAAAAAAATTATATGTAAAACAACTAATAAAAAGAAAAATCTGAAAAGTTTCAAATTTTAAATTACGTCCAAAAGGGGCTTTTTTTAACATTTTGTGTGTAACCTTTATTTATTAAATATCATGTTCTTTTGCACTTAAACCATAAAAATCAGTTCAATAGCAATGTCACAAAATAATTTTAAAATCTTTAGAATTTCCGATACACAGTTTCGCATGCTGGAGATAAAAAGGTTTCCCCCCCACCCTTGTAGAGTGTTGCCATTGCTCGCTTTGAAATCCTTGAGTCTGTTAATCAAAAATTCGTTAAAGTTTTACAAAATATGAAATTGATAATAAACAAATTCCAAATATTAATTCCATATTCGTAGGAGAATTACGTCATTCATAATTCGATAGCTCTATGTACCATTGTTTTATCACAATGCGAGAAATATACAAACATTTATGCAGATTTTTCATTATTTAGTTTCTTCAAATATAATGCCGGACTCTAACATTTGGTGGCAACAGTTTGAAAAGTGAAATGGACATTTATAGTGATTCACCACAAAATCACAAAACGGAAACAATAGTCCTTCGGGGACAAAGCCCCTTTGGACTAATAACTACAATTAAAATTCAATAAAATGTTAAGAGATTTAAAAAAATAAATTATTAAATTAATTTAATAGATAAAAATATCAGTTTAATAGGTTTATAGATAAAAATAGTTTAATAGATAAAAAAAATACTGGACCTTACATTATTTAGAGCAGCAGCTGAAATTCATTTTCACTTAAAAACTAAAAAAAGAGTTCAACCAGAATTTTATACCTGAATACAAAGTAAAATGTACCATTTCAAGGGATGGCAGAAACAAAAGGTCATTCTTTTTCTAGCATGCCAATGAAAGAAGGTAAAATGGTTGAAGAATCACTAATGAAAATAAAGAGAATGCTATAAATATTAAAAGAATATGGTAGGATTTTAACAGAAATGTATAAGTATGAAAACAGACAAGAGACCAAGAAAGACACTTTCCAAGAAAGATCCCCTGATGATATAATTCTAGTTGTTAAATGGAATATCAGACTTGATCTAGAAGCTGAGAACAAAATGAAGTTCTGTACAAACAGCAATTTTCATTACTCATATTTGATTCTAGGGTAATAACTTCTGATACTTTTGAGAATGAAAATTTTACTCTCACAAATTTATAGCATTTCCTGGAGAATAAGTCTTTGACATGTGGAATGTGGGCTTTTCTTTAACTCTTAATCTTGAACAAAGGGATAGTTTTTCAGATAAAGACAACCATGCAATCAGGAGAGAGAGAATTGATTAAGTTTTACTATGAAAATAAAATTTTTAGGATCAAAAGAATTTTCTACCAAAATTGTTATTGAATTACATAAAAGAAGTGCAGAACCCTCTTATTTATGCCTGAAGTGTACTCAGGCTAGAATAACAATTTATGTCAAAAACTGAAAAGTACCTGAGCCCAGCTCCAGTGCAATTTAAACTCTGCTTTAGTGTGCTCGTACAGGTTCACGCCGGTGTTGTCAGTTCTGAAGTCACAAAGTGATTCTTATTATTTAAAGGCTGTATATCATAGTTTTAAATCACTATAAATGATATAGCATATAAAAATGAATCTTCAATTTTAATGAGCTTTTGGCTATTACAAGCAACAAAAGAAAAATATTTAATGGAATCCTTTAGAAACTAATTTATGAGTCATATATCTTTATATAGTTACCTTATGACTTTTTATAGCCTCGATCATCCAACAATTTTTTTTGAGCCGCCATCTTATAAAATCTGGACAAAGAAATATTCAACTTTTGGACCACTTCAGCCACGCAATGTACTTAGTTTGTTCTAAATTCAATTTAACATCAAATAAAAGTTGAGTTTAGCATCCATGAAGTAATTTTAAATTTATATTATATGTTTAAATGCTTCTACTGCCATCAAAATATCTATCAAGTCAACAAACTCTTGCTGTGATATAAAGAAGCGCTACATGGCACTTACTTTAGAACACAAACTACTAAACTCAGTGGCGCAGTGTGGGGCCAAAGCTTGCAGTGTCCTCATATCTGCTTTCTTGACCACGGGCTCTGTGGTGCATGAGCATATGTCCTGGACAAGTGGTCAGTTTGTCGCAAGAACCCCCCCCCCTGGTGTTTAGCTCCTCAAGGGATGAAAGGCTGAGTTGACCTTGCTCAGCCCGGAGATAGAACCCTGGACCTGTGGTGCTGCTGCGTAACACGCTAGCCACTGCGCCACCGGGCTTCTCACTTCAGAACACAAGCTGTTACTAAATCTGAAATGATTCCTGATAGTTAAATCTTCAAGACCAGAAGGAAATTTTATCATTATCTAAATATTAGCATCTGAAGTCATTTACTTATATTTAACACCAACTTTCAAACTGCTTTTCTGATTTCAAAACATTTAAATACTTAAGCAAACTTAATGCTTTGCACTGAATTACTTTCAGAGTACCTGACATATGAAAGAGTACTCCAGAATAACTGGAATTTTGAACAATGAATATAGCAGATCTTTAAAGATGCTTTGATTAAATCACAAGTGGATGATTGGTTTTTCAGATTAAAAAACCATGTCTCGATAAGCAATGATTGATATGACTTTGATATCCACTTATGAGAAGAAATGAGGGAAAAATTAACATGTGACACAATATTAAGGCAAATAATAATAATAAAAAAAAGTGCCTAGAAATCTTGAAAAAAAAAAAAAAAAATTCTTTCTCCATTTGACACATATTTTGGGAAAAAAAAGGGGGGGGGCAATTTTGTATTGCTTACACCCTTTCCAAAATCTTTTCCATCAGTGTGACTTTTCTTTTTAACTTTCACGCATAAAGAAAGCTCTCAAAAAGTAATTCAGTGACACATATAAGGTGCAAGAAAATACAATTTTAGGAGAACTATTTTCATATTTCCAGCAATGGACAAAATGTTGGAGGGGGGGACTGATACTGTTGAAGAAAAATTTGAAAGGCAGGTAGGTATTAGGTATAAAGTGTAATATAATCACTTAAAACTGTTTCAGGTTATTAACCACAATAAATACTCGCCATTTTCTTCCTCCCCCCAACATTGATAATACATTATATAGTAGTAAACTAACTTGGGAGTAACATGGTTAGTTAAATTTTACAGATTGGTTGACTTTATCTAAACAATTTAAAACTGTTTTACTGTTGATTATGATAACTTTAAACATTTTCCTATATAAAATTTACTTTTTTCAACTTACACACTTTCATAATGTATTAGAATTACATAAATTACATATTTCATTACTATATAAACATATTAACATAGACATATAATAAAATTATGTTTTGCAGAATATAAAATATTAGTTGCATTCTCTATTCCATAAATGAAAGTCATATGTTTCACAGAAGATATTACATGCATTACAGTATTATGTTGATTATAATAAAATTTGAGAACCAAACAACTGGCAAAATTAAGGTATATCTAGAGTTTATCAATATTTTACAGTTACTTGTATTCTTAAAATCTACTTTTTCATCAAAAAAGTGTCAGATCTTTTGTGTTACAGAACCTGCTGCTAACCTAAGCTACACCTACCCTTTCACAGGATGAACAGCTAATCCACGAGGCTTGTCAATGTACGTATTATTTAAGATAATTCTTCTGACCTGTGCAATAGAAGTGTTAGCTTTTACCATTTCTATAGCAGATCGCTCTCCATTAGAAAAGTATACATTTCCACTAATCCAATCTAATGCAAGCCCTTCAACTGCTGCCATATTAGATTCTGCTATAGCTTCATTGCCCTTCTTTGAGGAATGTGAACAATGTCTCTGGAAAAAGTATTACATTTCAATAGTTATTATTATGCAATATAATCCTAAGAAATTATGAAGTAGCAGTAAAAATGCACATTACACATATTCATAAAATTGCTGATGTTAGATAATAGCCAGCACAGGGTGATATGCTACCGATCAGCACATTTTGCCGATATAATATATTTTTGATATTAGCAGATTAAGTACATTTTTTTTCTTATTTCCTGAATGAATTTCTCAGCAGTCTCATTCAAAATCACATCAAATAGATTTATTCCCTGCAACTTGTCTTTGCTTCACTATGAATGCCATTAAATAAGAATGCAAGTTCTTATTTTGGCACTTTATCGGTAATTACACACATCTTCTATCATAGCATTGTTGCTAATTGAGAACTGGAACACTCAAGATGTTTTGGCAAAATACTATATGTCTGGAAATAATGTACTTTTCTGCTTCATTTTTCAGCAAACCCAGTAAACGTACAATACAAAATGAGCAATCATTGCCCTGAGATTTTTGCAGGAAAAGGGTTAGCAAAAATGATGCAGTGGGCAGATATGTACTTGTTTTGACTGGTCTGAAGTTGACATTGAGTGGTTGGGAAGAAGTCATTTTCAACTTCCCTTAGCCCCCAAAACAGATATTAATGTAAAAGGAAAAGAAATCAGAAATAATTTTTTTAGAAAAATCCACAATATTTACATCCTTGTTTAAATTAAATTTTCATCTTTGAATGTGCTGGACATGCTTTATATATAAAGCACAAGGAATGGTTCATTTTCTACATAAATTGCACATGGATGTCGGTGAGGGAAGTTTCCGTACTTCTTACAAAGATTAGTATATTCCAACACATACAAATGAACTTATTTCTTTTTACATAGCATAAGTTGCAAATTATGGCTTGTATTTAGAACTCCATAGAGAAACACACCTACAGGGTAGCTATAATAATTGCATAAATAATAGCAATTAATACAATTTTAAAATACAACAAAAAAAAAAAACTTTTAAAACTATCTTTAACCACTATAATGGGATTAGTTTAATAACCAGTAGAAGAAATGCTAGTGATTAACTCCAAGTAATACACTTTCATAAATAAATAAGCAAGCAAAATTTAGAGATAAGAAATAAGATTGATTTTAATAAAATATCATTAGAATTTTTTTAAAGGCCATACTGTCAAGAAAATGTGACCCAGGATCATTGATAATTACTGATATTTCCAATAAAATAAATCCTGATGATCAAAACTAAATTTTGTCAACATATGGCAACTCAGAAATTCAATATATCTCTGAACTTCCATAGCGAGAAGCCATTACTTAATTTAGATCAAATAAACCATTGGGTAAAAAATATTTTTTTTCAGAATTTTATATATGATATTAAAATAAGTATAGAAAATCCATATTTGGGCAAAACTTTTAGTTTTTACAGTTACAAGTGGAAAAATTTTGTGAATTTCTAATGAAAAACTTGTTCCTTGTGTGAAACAAATATCAAAAAGGGAAAAGATCCGTTTATACTATCTCAGCCTCAACCTGACACTTTAAATTTTTGTCTAAAATAAGCCAAATTCTATCTATTTAGAAAATTATAATTTTGACACTCATTTGTTAGTTTCGTGGAATTTTTATTAAATCTTTATAAGATTTTATTGCTGAAGATAATATTACAATTAAAATATCTTACGAGATCTTCAGACTCGTACAGCATTAAAAAGTTGGAGAATAATAAATACTTCTTTTATTCCTGATAGTCCAAGACGCAATGCAGTTATGGCTTTCCGTCTATCTACAAGACATGATTGCCTTGCTGCTCACATGCATCGCATAGGTATTTCAAGTGACCTGTGACGATACAGCTACTAGCACCCCCCGCGGGCACAGGTGCTGAATTATAACTTCCTGTTTGGTTCGCGGACAAATGGACCATACCTGCGAAAAGCAGGACTGCAGAAAAAACCCCCTGGGAGTCTCCGGACACAAGGAACTGATTATGTTTCTCTTCGCAGATAACAAAATGAGTGAAATCTTTGTGTAAGAGTTCTTCATGTGATTTTGAGGTGACAGGACGCATCTTTTACGTCCTAAACCACGCCAGTGGTTTCTGTAGAACAACAGTTTTTTTTATGCTGTAACTACAGTAAAAAGGACGCTTTTTTGCGTCCAATCTGCGTTAGCAGATATTGTATGATTTAGGGCTGTAATGATCAGTTTATTTTTATGTTTTAATCAAGAAATCTATTTTAGTTTATCAAATAAATAATTTAAAAGACAACCTGTCTTTCTTTCACCCGACACGGGTGTACTGATGTTACAGCTATAATAAATGGTGGCAGCGGTTCATATAAGAAAATCCATGCAGAAATTACAGACCGTCAGGCTCTAAAAATTCATCTCAAGATTGTGGGACAGTCATTGTCCGGATATCAAAAGTGTTTTGCAGATATTACAGACCGTCAGGTTCTGAAGTGCAACACAAAATGTTACGAACATCAGTTCGAAAAAGTGATTACAGCTCTCCGAAGTGGTGAGATGAGAAAATCCATGCAGAAATTACAGACCGTCAGGCTCTAAAATTTCATCTCAAGATTGTGGGACAGTCATTGTCCAGATATCAATAGTGTTTTGCAGATATTACAGACCGTCAGGTTCTGAAGTGCAGCATGAAAAGTTACGAACATCAGTTCGAAAAAGTGATTACAGCTCTTCGAAGCAACGAGATGAGAAAATCCATGCAGAAATTACAGATCGTCAGGCTCTAAAAATTCATCTCAAGATTGTGGGACAGTGATTGTCCGGATATCAACAGTGTTTTGCAGATATTACAGACCGTCAGGTTCTGAAGTGCAACACGAAAAGTTACGAACATCAGTTCAAAAAAGTGATTACAGCTCTCCGAAGCAGGGAGATAAGAAATCCATGCAGAGATTGCAGACCGTCCGAGTCTGAAATTCATCTCGAGTTTGTAGGACAGCCATTGTCCGAACATCATAAGTGTTTGCAGATAGTACAGACCGCCAGGCTCTGAAGTGCAGCACGAATTTACGAACATCCGTTCGAAAAGTGATTTACAGCTCTTCAAAGTGGGGAATAGAATCCACGAAGAAGTTACAGACATCAGCCCAGAAAAAGAGGAACGACAGTCCCCTGAAATAAGCTCATCTTTAAGCGCAGTGATAAAGGTATTACTGGTGCGATCATCTTTGTGTTCGAGAAAATTTACCGCAGTGAGCGTGACAATCATTGTCTGAAGATCATCAGATCATTGTGATGTGTAGATGTTGAAAAAGTGATATGTGGGTGATCACCCTTGTGATTGAGAAAATTTAGATCATCAGATCTTGTGTGTGTGCGTTATAGGTGCCTGGATCATCAGCGTCCATAAAATCTTAAATTGTGAGAAGCGAAGTTGGGACGGCATCCGGTTTTGCATCGCAACCATTTCAACTCTCCAATCCAGAGGGGTAAGTCCCTTGGATTTTTATATTGAGGCAGTAAAGTAATTTAATTTATTTCTGTAAATCAGTATGTAAGTTCACATAAGTTTTAAGTCAACTTGTTCCTGTAAAGCTTAAAGAAATGTGCTTTCATGTTACAATAAGAAAGTATAAAATTTAGAATTTAAACCTGTGTTAATAGATTTTTTTTAATATCTGAAATGTTAATGTGTTGTGCTTAAATTAAACTTATATATTGGATTGGGTAAAGGAGTAGAATTACTGCAACTTAAAGGTTTTAATGTTAGGTGGCATTCTGACATATCATTTCTAAGACTTTTGAATGTTATAAATATTAGAATTTCAGTTAAGGTGTGTCAAACTTTTATTTGTGTAAGAACTGAAAATTTTTTTTCTTCTATTGAAGGAGTAAAAGGGGAATGATAAAACCCCCAGTATCTTTCCTTTTAACTGTTGTCATATTAATGTTAATTACTAGCATATGGATAGGTATTGTGTAATTTATTGTATTTCTGAATGCATATTTTTAACATATCCCAAATTTTGAGGAAAGTATATTGTATTATCATAAGCAAGTGTGTTTTACGCAACTGAATTTAAAGCTTTTCAGAGGATAATATTATTTGTAGTTTCATACGTCCTCAAGTAGACAATTTTTGTTTTTATTTTTGAATGCATAATGTGCATATTATAGTGTAAACTGTCATGTTTTTGTCTAACATCTGTAAAAATAGGTTGTGAAAAAATTATAATAAAAGTTTAATTTTTACTCTCTCTTGTGAAAATTATATCTGTTTAAATCAATTGTATGTATCTGTAGTGTGAGGGAGCTAAAATTGTTAGGATCATAATTTTGGTTATATCATGGCATTCTTAGCAAAAGTTAGGAAAGAGGATCTTAAATCCTTGGCTGAAGAGTTAGGGGAAAACGTTAGCCCTGAACTTAGGATTTGGATTTAAGACAGCTGATTATGGGAAATGAATCCTATGAGGAGGAACTAGTGAAAGGCCTGTTAGAAAATATCACTTCAACGAGGCTTGAGAGAGAAAAAAAAGGAGCAGGAGAGAATTAGGAAGGAAGAAGAACAGAGGCAAGAAAGAATTAGGAGAGAAGAAGAAGAAAGGCAAGAAAGAATTAGGAGAGAAGAAGAAGAAAGGCAGGATAGAATTAGAAGAGAAGAAATGGAATTTGAATTATCCAAGTTACGTTTACTAGCCGCTAACAGAAATGACTCTGGAAATGGTGGGAATGAAGAAAATGGACTAAAAAAGCCGATATGATCTAAAAAAAATGAAGCCAAAATTTGATCCTGAAGAGAACGATATCAGTTTGTATCTAGGTCATGTTTGAGTGCCAAGCAAAGCGTGCGAATCTTCACCAATCAGAATGGGTTTCGGTTTTATTGACAATTTTGCCAACTGACATAGTTCAGCTGATTATGCGAGAACCAGAACAGCAGGCTTATGATTACGCTTATATAAAAGGTATACTGCTTAAAAGGTTCAAACTTAGTCCAGAAAAATTTCGCATCAAATTCGTGCAATCTCAGAAACACCCCCAAACCACTTGGAGAGATTTTGCCTTTGAATTAAGGAATTATTTTGAAGAATGGATTGCAGGTTTGGAAGTTACGTATTTTGAACTTTTAAAGGAGCTCATGATAACGGACCAAATGAAGCGTCATGTAAATGCCGAAGTGCGGCAATATTTTATTGACGAATGGTAGAAGATAATGACTCCAGAGAAATTAGCGGAAATGCTGGAAGAATATGAAAATGTGCGTGAACCCCGGAAGAAGATCTCTCCTGCTCATAGTTTGGAGTCACAAAGGGGAAATATAAATAATTTAAATTCGAGGGATCCGAAAAAGTATCACCAGTCTGGAGGGGAAGATAGATATGCCTCTGACAGAAAGGAACATCTCCGTAATCAGGATGAGCGTCAATTTGATATGAGAAGACCAATTAAGTGTTATTCTTGTGGTTCAACCCAACACTTAAGGCCTCAATGTCCAGAAATTAAAAGGGATCTCAAAACTCCGTTTATTGTAAATAGAGTCCAGGAGATTGAAGAAGATTGTTTAGCCCCGTATCTAACGATGGCTAAAGTGAACGGTTTTGATCTGCCAGTTTTGAGAGATACCGGGTCATGCATTGACGTAATTTGCAAGAAATATCTCACTCCTTCGATGCTGACGGGTGAGACTGGTTTGGGTAAAACACCCGTTTGATGAGGCCCCAATTTGTGTACCCTTAGCAAACGTTACAATAGAAGGAAACTTTTGGCCAAGTAACAACAAAAGCAGCGGTCATTCGAAAATGAATTGGAACATTATCTGTTAGGAAACAGAACCGCCGAAAAATTAGCCGTAGATCAACATGATAAACTTTTCTTTCAGGTGAAAACAGGTATTCGAGCTCCGAGTCAATCAAAGAATGAAATGGGGAAAAGTTGTCCACTGGAGTCTGAACGAGGGGCGAACTCGAACCCTCAAGCGAAGTTTCTCCCCTCATTATAGAAAGGGGTAAAGTCTTGTCTCAAACACAAAGGATAGAGAAAAACCAATTTCTTTCTGCCTGAAACGAAAGTGAATGAACTATCACTGCCTACAATAAAATATTCTTTTATAGCGGACCTACAAAAGAAAAGTGACGTTGTAAAGCCATCTTGTCACTTAGTCGTGTTAAACGATCACAGTAATTCTTTGGGAAAGGTGTACAAGTTAAGAATTACCTTTTCGGTTCGGCCCGAACAAGAAACTGTAGATAAGCTAAACGACGTTTCGTACCAACCAGACTCGGGAGGTTTGCGAATGCCTAAAAATTCCGTAGGAGAACTGGCCAAGACACCAAGTAGTGTAAATTTACCATTCAGAGATTATCACAAACGGAAAGTTAAAAATCTGCAAGGTTTCCCTTTTCAGCCTGGCTAGATATATAATTAATATTAAACTTAGGACTGTATATTGTATATTACATTTTTCAGAAAATTATACGTTCTTTATTTGTGTGTGTATAATTAAGTTTATTTCTCAGTATTATGTTGATTATATGTTTTTTTTACTGGCCTCAATATAGTTCTTGTTATGCTTATCCTTGGTACGTAGCCCAGTGTTGTTGTAAAATGTATTAATGCTAATAACTGCTAATTAGTTTACTTTGAAAACTTGCTGTGGTAGCTACCGTGAATTGGAGTTCTGAAAACCCCCGCCCTCCGGGAAGAAAAGGGGTTGTGACGATACAGCTACTAGCACCCCCCGCGGGCACAGGTGCTGAATTATAACTTCCTGTTTGGTTCGTGGACGAATGGACCATACCTGCGAAAAGCAGGACTGCAGAAAAAAACCCCTGGGAGTTTCCGGACACAAGGAACTGATTATGTTTCTCTTCGCAGATAACAAAATGAGTGAAATCTTTGTGTAAGAGTTCTTCATGTGATTTTGAGGTGACAGGACGCATCTTTTACGTCCTAAACCACGCCAGTGGTTTCTGTAGAACAATAGTTTTTTTTATGCTGTAACTACAGTAAAAAGGACGCTTTTTTGCGTCCAATCTGCGTTAGCGGATATTGTATGATTTAGGGCTGTAATGATCAGTTTATTTTTATGTTTTAATCAAGAAATCTATTTTAGTTTATCAAATAAATAATTTAAAAGACAACCTGTCTTTCTTTCACCCGACACGGGTGTACTGACGTTGCAGACCCTATTTGCCCACTTTGTAATTCTGGAGAAGAAATGGACAGGGACCATCTGGTTCGATGTGGGGCTCTTCGTGGTCTTACAAAAGAGCCGAGATACTAGGAGGCAAGAGTGCTCCTTAGGCAATGACTTTGTTCTTAGTTCTTAGGCAATGACTTTGTTCTCTTTTTGTTCTTAGTTCTATTGTTTATAATCCTTTGTCTGTACAATTTTAGTTCTTTGTAACGTTTTGCCTAGCCATTGGAAATAAAAAGTATTACAGCTAAAGGAGAAAAATGCACACTGCGACTTCTTGGTACTTGAGTATTAGCCAATATCTGCCAATATCCTGCCCATAATTTAGTGTCATTTTTTTAAAGTTAAACATATTTTTGACAGCAGCAAATTGATAAAACAATGTTTTTGATCTCCATCAGGTATGATTTGGCAAAAGCATTCAAAATCACACCACGCAGATGTTCTCCAAGGCCTGCCTCTGCATCCATATAAACTCTGCTAAACAAGAAAATGACTTCACCCAAACCATTTCCCAATTCTCTTTCTAACAAATTATGAATGGTTTTTACTTCATTTCTGGGATACTGTAAATATAAGACAAATGTAGGGTCGGTGCAAGGTATTTTACTGCCTAATATAATGTCCATGTTTACTATAGCCTTCCGTTCTCGAATTCTGTCATCTGGTGCAGAGGCAACAGATGTTGATGCTGAAATATACACAAAGTTATCCCCCAATTAATTTCATCCCCCTGGGTGTTGATGTTGGGTGTAATTAATGTTGATGTTTCAGTATGCACCAGCTAATACCTAATGTCATTTTTTTTTTTAAAATATCTGATGTGGACATCACATATTCCTATTAAATTCCACACATTTTTTGCTGCACTTCTTTTAAACTTATTTTCTTGAATTTCATTAGAGATATATTTCTCTTTCAATCAATTCAGATCTCATTTCCCAGCAAAGCAAAAATACATAAAAACATCTTCATTAAAAATTCTAATTACAATTAAAATTAAAAGTTTCTATGCAAACAAAAATTTGGCCAATGTGGACGAAGACTCAGTTTTTGATGCACAAAACAACGTTAATTCTTGGTACCACTGGCTAAAAAGCGATTAAAGTTGGTGCCCCAACTGATTTAATTCACTGTTCTACTAAGAGTTTTAAATGTAAACAAATGGCAGTCTCGTTAGGCCTAGCACTACTTAAGCTTTTAAATTGTTGATAATTCTTTAACTACTGCATGCAGATTAACTAAAGGCATAAAAAACTTAGCCACTTTTAAAGCAAAAAATGTGCGATTTACCTACATATAAGAATAAAAATATGTAGCTCACAAAGCCAGGTAACAGGGAAGAAATATATTTATACATACAATTACAATGAAAAGGAAGGTGCACAACTACATATTATAGCAGTACCATGTACAAAATTTGAACTTTCTACAGCTGCTCGTTCTTGAGTTATGCAAGATACATGGATAAATATGTACAGGTATCATGAAAAAAATCTCTTCTCAATCCATTTTATTGCATTTTGGAAAAAAGAGTCTTATTCTGTCTATATGTATGGATTTTAAACAAAAAAAAAAAAAAAAAAAAAAAAAAAAAAAAAAACTTTCAAATGGATTCGAGAGCAGTCAAAATTCAAAATGGATATTTTCATTGAAATATGATACCCCAAATTTTTCAAAATTATAATACTTTACACAAGGAAGCAAAATTAAGTTTTTCTAAAAAAAAAAGGTTTCTGAACCAATATTTCTGAGCTATCAGTACTGCAGAGGACAAGAAAATTTCAATTTATGTAACTTTTTTCCAGGACTACACAACAATGAAAATGGAACATTATTATCAATACGGGATTGAGTAACCCTTAAATTTTCTCAATAAAAAAGATAAATATATTCACAAAGTATAGGGTTTACTGATGATCCATAAAATAAAAATGCAAATTACAATAATAAAATAAAAACAAAATACTAACAAATACAGCATCTGTATCTTGCCAATAGAGACAATGGCTTGCGTAATGAAAATCAAGTGCAACAACATTACGTATATTTGATAAAGGAATTTGGAGCAATTCAGGTGTTTCTGAATTTAAATCTAATCTACTGATTCTGTGCATCTCAGCCACAAGAAGGAACTCATCATCTGAAAAACAAAAAATATATCAAAGGGTATACAAGAAGAAAACAGGTCCCAGGCATATAAAAATTAAAAAAAGATCATACACATAACTAAATGAAAAATTAAATCTGGATTTAAATAACCAAAATTTTGTTTTAAAATGAAATTATATGTTACACATCTTTAGGATTAACTTTTCCCCCCTTAACAAAGCATTTATTACTATGCTATCTTAATTTGCTTCTCCTACTTCCTCCATACATGAACAGAATTTTCTATGTAATCATGTCATTAGATTCGATTCAGTGAACATCTGCTGTTACGGATTCAAAAGCTAAGCAAAGAATTATGCAATAATGTTTTGATGCAAAGGGGGAAATCAGCAATGGAGACATTCGAAATGTTGTGTACAGCACAAGAAGATAAACCATTAACATATCCAAGATTTTCACATTCATATGGATGATTTTGTGATGGACACAGCGATGTTAATGTTGAATCCAGAAGTGGTTGGCCCTTCATAGACTTTAACAAAAAAGAACATTTAAAAAAAAAATTAATAATGGTTGCTGAAAAATCATCACCTGTCTCTTGAAATGAATGGCTCAAATGACAACATGGCTGAAGTAAAGTGACCACATTTTCATTGAGACTAAGCGGGACAAATGGAATGAAATGAGAATTATAATTTAGTTATGAAAGCAGACCAATAATTAAAAAATATATATTTTATTATATACATTCATATACTTGTCTTTAAATATACAAAAATATATTTATTATTAACTATTAGTAACTATAAAAATATCCGTAAAAAACAATAATTTGAATATTATGTTTTTTTAATTAATTTAATATTTTGTTTTTAAAAAAATTATGATTTTCTTTCACGATTATATTTTTTAATATGTTGCAATAGATTTGAATCATTTATTAAAATGTAGTGAAATTTCTCACATGAACTGATCAAATTATACTTTAGGCTTACTACAGATTTTTAAATTTTAATGTTCAACTGCGTTTTTTTTTTTTTTTCCAATTGTCCATATTTTATTGATACTAGAAAAAACACGTTCTGTTGCTGCATTTGTTCTTGGAAGGGACAGTGCATGTTCTACAGTTTTTTAAATATTTTCATAAGTATTCTGTTTAAAATGAAGGAATAATTCCACCCATTTTTTTTGTCTGCTTCCATTTTTGCAGACAACCAACATTTAATTTTGTCATCAGTTTTTACCAATGACACCTCATCAAAAAGATCATTTTCGCAAATATTATTTTTTGGAAAATGGTTACTAATATATTAAATAGATTTTTCCACATATTCCCATAAAATCTCTTTTTTTTTTAATATCACCCAATGACAGTTTTTAATATCCTCGAATTGAACTGTCCATTTTTCAAGATATTCCAAGCAGCTATTATAAAAATTTCTGACTTTCAGAAAATCAGGTCATTTAATATGGCACCTTGTTCTTCCAACCTAGTGATGTTCTTTCGAATAGCTAAAGGAATGTAATCATTATAAATTCTTTCTCACAATTTTGTTTCTAAGTTATTGATTTCATTTGACACTTCCATAAACGGAATTTTGTCCCCTTCAATAATTTTCACAGCATTGTGAAATAATGTAGCTTGGTTGTGGATGAATTGAAGCCAAATTTGTGATGCGTCATTTAAAAAAAAAAGCTTCAATATTCTTGGACATTTATCTCGTGATAAAAAGTATGATTTTAATGGTTCTTATATTTTAAAAATATTTTCTACAGCTGGTAAAAGAGCTATCCTTCATGTTTTGCTGTAACCAATGATTCTTTTATATTCGATTTCTGTGCTTTCACAAAAATCCTTCAAAATTTCGACAAGCTCAGTATATATATAAAAATACGAATAAATTTTTGCAATAATATTTTCAACATCCATTGGAAGTAAGTAAGTCAGATGCTGTTTGAATAGTATTGTGTAGAATGTGTGGAGCACAACCTACTCAAATAATTTTTTGGTTCAAACATTTATTAAGTTTCGTAAAAACGTTATTGATGCTTCTTCTAGCTTTTCCACCAAAATTAGCATTAGTGTCAACAATAAAATTATTGCCTCACAATAGGCAATGATTTTATTCTTCAAATTATTCTTTTTAAATTAGTACTTATGGAATCAAAAATTATTTGTCAAGTTTCACTGGGCAGCCGCCAAGACTGTATAGTGGTTAGGGGAGCCTGACTGCAATACCGAAGGGCCTGGGTTCGAATCCCGGAGAAGGTATGGTTGTAACTCTTCATTCCTTCATAGAAGGCAATGGTGGCCCACCAATTAGGTGTTGTCTCCATAATAAAGAGACCACCACATCTGGCCTTAGCATAGATTAATGGACTCTGTTACAAAGCTATAACTGTTCACAATCTGCCATTGGAAAAAAAAAAAAAAAAAAAAAAAAAAAAAGGTTTCACCCAGCAATGAAACAAAATCTAATATCCTAATTTTAATTCCTGTTTCTGGATCAAAAAGTCTAACAACTGTGGGAAATAATTTTAAATCTTTGTGGTTGGAAGCATCATAATATATGGAGATAAATGTGCAATTTATCTAATTCTTTCTGCAGTTGTGAAAACGAATATGGTGAAAAAACATTACAAATAATTGCTTCGTTTTTTGTCCTTGTGCATGCAAATTTTCTGTCGCACAATGTTTTGAAAAAAAAAAAAAAAAAAAAGGAAATAAAAATAAGTTGCTTTAAATTAGGAAGTTCACCAAGCGAATTATTTTGGCACAAACTGAAAAAAATGCAGCAAAAATAATTCACTTGGCGAACTTCTTAATTTAAAGCAACCTGTTTTTTCTTTGAAAAAAATGCGCCAAGATAAATTTTTGAATTTCTTCGTAAATTTCACACCAAATTTTACAAAATATTCAGGCTTAATTTGTGTCGTAGAATTGAAATATGAAAAAAAAATAAAAGGGCATGGCATTTTAGAAAAAGTCCGATTTTGTGTCAAAACAACTAATTTAGAGTTAAAATAACTATGTTATATATAAATCTAATAAATATCCTAAATCATGCTTTCAAGACATGGAAAATGCAATTTGAATTTTGTCAGTTGGCGCAATAGATATAGAACTGTCCTTTTTTTTTTATTTTTTATTTTCAAAGTGTTCCTGTTTGCTCTTGAAATTAATAGAGTTCTTGACTAAATCTATGTCTAACACAAGGCTGTTGCTTTGCTAATTTTTTTGTTTTACTTTGGCATGTTTCTCTCTCTCTTTTTTTTTTTTTTTTTTGTGTGTGTGTGTGTGTGTGTGTGTGTGTTACATTCTTCCAAATGGCAACAGACTCGGATGCAAAGTGATACAATGCACTTATAATGAACAACATTTAAAGGGAACCAGAGCAAAATCATGTTTTGAGAGAGTAATAGCCTTTTAGAGCTAAAAACTACCTTAATACATGTGCATTTTGATACAACTAAACAAAGTAAGTATGAAGAATGGAAGATATATTCTTTAAAGTGCCACTTTATTTATTAAGCTACTCACATTGCATAAAACAATAACAGTCCTTTTATAAATTAACAATTACACAAAAAACCTGATAATCAATCAACATGGAGAAAGATGACAAGGATTCAGAGAATGGAGACAAAATTACCATAAGCATAGAAATTACTGTTTAAAAATACCAAACCAGTCAATACAAATAATATGAAAATGCCAACGTAATTAGCTGAACTTTAAAAGAAAATAAATGAATAAAATTTAAATAAAAATTCTTTTAATTTTAAAAGGAATTATAAACTGTTTTCAAGGATTTACTTATATTTTAAATTTACCTTCTGAAGGACAAAGTTTGAGTTCAGGTTCATACAAGAAATTATTTCCTCCAGTACACGTATCCCCTGGAACTTTGCGATAGCTACATAAAGAAAAGGAATTTAGATTTTAAATTCACACTAAAAGACAGATGAAAAAAAATTTTAAATAGCTTAGCTAGAAAAAACATATATAATTAAAAATTAATAATAATACATGAAAATTGGTTCGTACGGGATAAAATTCATTAAAAGTCACATATAAATTGCAATATAGTATGAACATACCAACTACAGTTACTGTTAGAATTGAAAATAAGTAAAACATGTTGATTTGGTACAATTTTTGTAATTAATAGTTCAAAATTAAAAAAATTTTAGACATGTCTTTGAAGTATTTTTATATGTTATTAATGAAATATTTTTCAGTATTTATAATTTTCAGAAATAAAAGTTGAATCAGATATCAGAACAAGAATCAATCCCAAAATTAAAATACTGTGGTTTATTTAAAAAAAAAATCAACATAGCTCTAGAATGAGATTAAGTCTGCGACAAAAATTTAACATATAAGCTTATACCCTTGAGTTCTGTTATAGTATTCTCCAGGAACACAGGTAGCAGGGATTGCATAAGGATCTGCTTCACTTTCTTCATCTCTTACACACTGATCAGCTTGTTCTTTAAAGCCAAAGTCACTACAAAAATTCCCAAATATTATACTCAGAACATCTGGAAACAATAAAACTATTCTCAATATAAAAGATAAACTCAAATACCATTAATATGCTTGATTATAAGTGCATCACTTATGAAAAAGAAAATTAAAAAATTAAAAATGCTGTCTTGGATGAATGCTTTGGTCAAATTTTTAAAATTTTTCATAGCTACTTAATTACATGAAAGCATTATGACTAGCTTAGTTTAGCTTGACCATTGGTCAGGAAAAAATCAAATAATAATAATAAAAAATCTGAAAGATTTCAGATTTTAACGGTCACCCAAAAGAGTTTGTTAAGGTTTTATACACTCTTGCAGACCTCGCAGTCTACAAGTCTGCTGTTACGTTCTTGCTAACTCTTTTTGTTTTTAAGCTTTATTATTAAGCATTACTTTCCTTGCACTTATACAATTCACTTATGCATACAATTCAACACTTATACAATACAACAGCAAAATTTAACAAAATTTAACAGCAGCATAGCAGTATATGTTTAGAATTCCCGATGTAGTATTGAGTGCTGGCATTATATTTTCCTGTTCCTCCCCCCCAGTCCTTTCTGAGTTCATTATATCAATGTTCAGTTTTCTTACTACGATTGCTCTAAAAATTTTTTTTTAATCTTTTTATTATTAATGCATTGTGTGTTTACTTTATTTATTTAAATATCACATTCTTGGTGCAGACACAACAACTCAACAGAAAAATCATAAAATATCAAAAAACAGTTCATCTTCTGATAGACAGACAGAGATAAAAATGTTTTATTCTGTTCAGCGTTGCCACTGCTCACTTTGAAATCGTTGAATTTGTTAATCAGAAATTTGTTAAAGTCTTACAAAACATAAAACAGGTAATAAAACAAATTCAAAATTCAGGCTTCCAGGTGCCCACATTTGTGTTGAGGATTATGCTATTCAGAATTTGATGACTCTAGTTACTGTCATTTATTCACAATGTGAGAAAAATACATACATTCATGCAGATTCTTCATTATTTAATTTTCTTAAATATAGTACTGAGCAATAACATTGTGGTAACTATTTGAAAAGTGATACAATGCATTCAAATGTTTTGATACAAGACACCCTTTTGAGACTAATATCCTGTTCAGTACTAACAGCCCTTTTGAGCTAATAAAATAATATGAGAAAAATTTTCCCCTCCCCTTACAGAAATGGAAAATATTAATTATCCGCTAAGACATAAAAGATTTTCCAGAAAATTTCAATTTTTATTTTGATTAATTTCTATGAAATAAATTTTAAATTAATAATTATTGTAATATAATTAATTATTTCGCTTCTTGATTTGCCTGATAAAATATGTTATAAATAATGTTTGCAGTAAATCAATAAAATATGTATATCGTTCTTTCTTCTTTCTTTCAGAATACTTTATTTTTCTAAAATAGTAAAATATTTATATTTTTTTAATGAAATGCACGACTTATGCTTGTCATTTTAAAATAATAACAAACAATATAGTCTTTTACTATATTATAACCCTTTAGACCTTTATACCCTTTAGACCTTGATATATTATTAATACGGCAACTAAACTATAATAATCAACTAATAAGAGACATCAAGAGAAATAAATATTATGGGCTTATTTGATTTGACTCCTGAAATCGCTTATTGAGAACAAATGTCACAAGTCTTTAGGTATGTAGACATTGATTTTACCAGCAGAAAAGTCTCTATCAAAAAATTCGTGTTAGATGACACCAACAAACGACTGGAGAATTAGCTGGGGATATTGGCCTTTCTGCAGAAAGTGAAATTTCTCACATTGTGAAAAGTGTTCATGATCATCTGCAGCAGGAAATAAGTACACTATCCACATAACTAAGTGTTCTTAATTCTAGATTTGGATATTTACCGGACATTGAAAATTTATTAAAGAAGGATAATGTTGATAACAATCTCGAAAAGAATCATAAAAATCTGATATGGACACCACATGACTTCCTTGTATGGCCTATTAAATTATATACATTTCTTGCTACATTTCATTTAAACTTATTTCCTCGAATTTTATTAGAGATTCATTTCTCATTCAATTAATTCAGTTCTCACTTTGCGGCAAGGCAAAAATACATAAAAACTCAAAAATTTTTCATTAAAAATTGTAAAATACAGGAAAATATAAAACACCAAATACAGTTAAAACAGTTAAAAAACAAATTTTTACAATTAAAATTCGAGTTTCTATGCAAAAACAAGTAATTCGGCCAGCGGGCAAGAAGGAATATTTTTTTGCGCACAAAACTGAAGTTACTTTTGGTTCAACTCAGCAAAAAGACACAGAAGGTGTACACACTGACTTAATTCACTATTCTACTGTGTTTCAAATGCCCACAAATGGTGGTTTGTTAGTCTTAACTTGCCACTTACTTTTAAATTGTTAATATTCTACGTCTATTGCATGCAGATTAACTAAAGGTATAAAAACCACATAATTCAATCAACTTTAAAACTAAAAATGCACAAATTAGCAACAAATTTAGCTCACCAAGCCAGGTAACAAAGTGCACGACAGGTACGGCCGATTGCAATGAAAAAAGGGGGGCATAACTGCACGTTATACCAGTCCCATATACAAAATTTCAATGTTCTACCGCTACTCCTTCTTGAGTTATGCGAGATACGTACATATGTACAGATGTTAAGAAAAATCTCTTCTGAGCCTATTTTAAATCCATTTTAGTAAAAACAGTCCTTTATTCTGTCCGCACAAACAGATGTCACACAAAATCATCATTCAAATGGTTTCAAGAGTGATTGAAATGGATATTTTCATTGAAATATGATACTCGAAATATTTTGCAATTATAATACAGTACAAAGACTGTAATCCGGACGTCCATTATCCAGAATGATCTATAATTTGGACCTCAAAGCCACAAACACTTTTTTTGTATGCTTTATGCATGTGCGTAATGCGTTTACACACGTGCATTTAATGTTTACGCATGCGCATTTAGCGCAAAAAATGAAGCAACTTATAACTTACATTGAAAGAAATGTTTAATAAAATAAACAAATAAATATTAAGTTTTTTTTTTTTTAAAATTTTGATACCCTTTGGATCATAATTGCTTTTTATTTCATAAATTACAGTTTCATATTTCTAACTGTATAATTTCTGCATGCCATTTCACCAGATTTAAATTGATGATCTATAATCCAGAAAAACCTTTAATCCGGAATCGCAGAACTCCCGACGAGTCCGGATTACGGACTTTGTACTGTACTTCCTTTATTTTGCAAAAGGAAGTAAAAATGTGGGCGAATTTTATAATACAGACTTCTATGGAACAGATTTAGTGTCGAAATATGTGACTGCAAGATGTTATTTCGGAGCAGGAAAGAAACTGAACCTAAAGCACCATTAGAACTTCTGACCTTTATATTCTCATTTGGAGAAAACATTTTTCCAAACTTGAAACTCGCATTCCAAATGCTCCTTACTATTTCAGTATCACTTGCTAGCTGTGAACATTTCTTTAGCAAATTAAAATTATTTTGGAATATCTATGATCAATGATGGGACAAGATTGCCTAAATGACATAGCCATTTTTAACAGTGGATAGAGAAAAATCTGAAATGACCGAGTTTGTTGAAGTAATTGATAAATTTGCTCCATCAAAGGCAAGAAAAATGTATACATAATAATTAATTGTATTAATATATCTACTTAAATATACCATACATTAGCTTTTTTCATTGCTTAAAAACTGCGTTTTCTTTAAAGCAACTATACATAAAATAAATAATATTTTTTTAACTAATTCCAGATGAGCGTATGGTCTGATTTTTCCACTGACACAGAAACATTTCTGAATTGAATTCTAGGCTTGATTTTTTGTCTCAAATTTTAAGCCTAACGTGAGCCTGTTATTCTGAAAAACTGTGCACCATTTAGTCCGAAAAACTGTATAGCATTTTGTAGAAACGTAGTTAGGTAGTGACTATTTTTAAGGCAGATTATTTAAGTATTAAGTGTACCTTAAGGCAGATTTCATTATTACGTGTATTACATTTTTATTACAAGTATATTCTATATATACCATATTATTACATTTTTTGGGGGGGGCGGGTGCCAGAAACCACCATGTTCCGAGCACCAGTCACGGTCAATGCGCCACTGGCTTTCCTCAACAAAATGGTGCGCCATAAATGTGATTTTTCTCCAGATTAACTGACATAACTGCTGACCAGAGAAATTGCACTGAAGCCAATGACAATACATTGACTGATGTTATATTGATGTTAACCACTGCTTTAAGGCAATCCACTGAGTTACTGGGTGCAATACTTTACAAGAGACTTTGTTGTAAAGTATTGCACCCAGTAACTCAGAATGAAATTTTAATTCAGACTTAATTAATTTTGGTTTTGATGTACATGACTGAATAATTAATAATGCTCTAAAAATTATTATTATCCGAAGTCTCATGTAAGTTGTTTTCATCAGAGCATTATGCAAAAGTCATGTGATTTGGATTAATCTAGAAGTGATGTAGTCCAGAAAAAGTTATTAAGCAGTGCTATTTTTAGAATAAAAGGGAAATACCCAAATTAAAATGAAGAATTAAGGGGCTATTGCTAGCTTAAGTTATAATTTTGATTTAGATATTTTTTATCCAACCCATACACATTAATAATATTAGTAATACATATTATAACTTACTTGATGTATATTTCTAAATTCAAGCTTTAGTAAAAAGAAGAAAAATGGCCATGTCCACTTATAAATCTGTTTACTTGTGTGGTACATATGGTAGTATAGTCTGTCAGTGCTAATATATAGGTAAAGTCCTGCCATACTAACTGTACAATTCCACTCTAAGGCATCTGGAAAGGGGTTGCCCGAGGCTCTCCAACCCCTCTAACCCAACCACCAACCTCTTGAAAAGACTTTTTGGCCAGTCATATATTTTAAATGTTGCCTTTACTGCACAGACATTATACACTTACAAACATCCATCCCTTCTCCAAGATTCGAACCCGAGGCCATCGGTACAATTGTCAGTACCACTACACCAGCTGGGAGGTATAGTGGTTAGCCATTTCAGCAACATTCTCCATCTCCATTTACTAACACTGTAATCAAATTGGCCAATTTTAGTAATTCTATTCTAACTTTTGCATGAAATTAGTTCAGCCTTAAAACAGGAAGAGTGAAATTTAAGTTATAGACAGGAAAATTTCCATTTTATAAGTCCTTTAGTTCTATTATATTTTGAAATAAATTAATTATTACATGCTCTCATTACTATATTCATGAAATACAGGCTCTTGTGATTTATAAATTAAGTGACTACAACTACAAAATTAATTAGATTTTTCAATTACTTATGCATTACATTTGTGTCAATTAATGTTTAAAATTTATAATGAATGTATATAGTATATAATATTAGGCATATGTTTCATTAGTTATATTGTCTGAACAGTTAAAATATGAACAGTTAAAAAAGTTCATATTAGTAGCATAAATAAGCAAAAATTTTTTCATAACACCTGTGACTGAAATGGCTTTATAACTCAAACAAGAAAATCATTTCATTCCATATGACGTAAAATAAAATATCACACTTAAAATCATTCAAAAGATATTTTCCTTACTTCCCTTTGAAACATCCATTCACACAGATTTAAAAATGATTAAGATCTGGTTGATATGCTACACAGAAATTACTAATTTGCAAAATGTAGATTTAGCCTTGTTTTCAAGCTCACTGTTATTACATCCTTTCTCTTGTAAAAAATCATTGAAGACAAAATAACTACAAATTCTAATAAATAAAATAATTAAAGTCAATCACTTTAATTTTCAAATGCTTGATTATTCAAAACACTTCTTTGCAGGAATACTATACGTATCAGAAAAATCAAACAGGAAATTAGAAAGAATATGGTTAATACTATTAAAATGTCACCAATTTAACGAATGCATAAACTTCAAAAATTCTGCATGCAATAAAAATATACCATTCATAATCCTCCCTTTCACAAGGACAATTCTCTGTTTTTATAGGACGTTCATAATTCTGACCATTATAGCATGAGGTATGTGAAATTCGGCGTTCATAAATTTCTTCGCGACCTAGCAAGCAAGTACGATTTGGTGCATGAGGACTCCACAACTTGTAATCTTCAGGTCGGCAATCATGTTCTGCAATAAAATAAATAAATATTATAGTAATATAACAAAAAGTTAAAGGAACTAAAAATAAGAAATAAAAGTAAAATATACAATTAATTTCAAGTTTATGTTAAAATTCTAAAGAGCATCAAGTTAACACACTAGTCAATAGTTTACGAAAATGCGTTGACTTGATTACTGGCATTATGTTTTCCTGTACAAAGATGGATGTACTTCAATAAATTTCTATAACAATTCAAAATTTTTGAGAAATTTCAAAGTTTATGCCTACAAATACATCATGGTGAGTGTATAACCATATCGACATCAATCTGTTTACATACAGTCGTATAGATTGATATCTATAAAAAATCAATTATAAAATGAGATTTTATGAATCCTGAATGTACTTCATGAATTAGTTTCTGTTTATACCTAATGAGTTCAAGTTATCGTAGCTGAGAAAGCTATGAAAAATATAGGCAAACTGGTAGATAAAAAAATAATCTTATGAAACATACTAAAGAAATGGTTCCATCACATATTTACCATCGAACTGAACTCTTCAGACAAATACCATCCTCGAACTTCAGTTACAAGACTAGAACCATGTATCAAACAGATTCAATTCTAACCTTGTAACTGAAGGTGGTAGTCTGCATTGAAATAAAAATATTTCAATAAATGAGCCCAAAAGTGCTATTAGTCTTGAAACAGAATTTTGCATCATCCATTAAAATGGGGAATCACTTTCCAAATTGTTGCCACCAAATATTATATTTAAAGAAATTAAATAACAAAAGATCTGTATGAATGTATATATGTTCCTCACACTGTGAAATAATAACGGTAAATACGGCATCAAAGTTTGAATAATGTAGTCCTCCACTTCAACATGTGCCCCTGTATGATCAAATTTTAAATTTTGTATTTCATATTTTGTAAAACTTTCATGAATTTTTGATTAACAAATTCAATAATTTGAAAATAAGCCTTAGCATTATTGTATGTGGGGGGGGGGGCCATTTTTATCTCCAGCAGTCAAATAATCTAAAGATATGCTGTTGCTGTTTTTAAATATTTCATGATTTTGCTTTTGAATTGAATTTTATGTGGTGTAAGTGGGAAGATATTTAATAAATAAAGTTAACACACAGAATGCTAATAATAAAAAGACCCCCCCCCCCAAAAAAAAATTACAAGCCCTTACTAAAATTTTCTGCTTTGTTACATGATACGAAACAGCCAATCACCACAGATCGTTCTGGGGTTACCATGTAAAGGGCAAACTACTTCTCATATATAAATGATGATTGATGACAGGACATTTGACACTGATTAGTCCTTGAAAGTGAACAACTTATAACTTTTTACGAAAGAAAGGAAAAAATCGTGGAAAAAAAATCTTTCAGTGGTAAAGCAGGCAGGAAAATTGTATGAAACAATTTTTTTTGTTTGAAATAGATGGATATGTTATATCGGCCTAAGAAAACTGAAACACTGATACGATGAAGAGAAAAGACTGGAGGGGGAGGTAAAAATGCATGCCAGTACTTAACGCTGCATCAGGAATTCTAAACATATACTGCTATGTTGCTTTTGAAATTTGTGTAATTTTGCTATTGAATTGTATATAGCATAAGTTTAGAGAAAATTATGCTTAATAACAAATCTAAAAAAAAAAAAGAAAAGAAAAGAAATGGGTTAGCAGGAATGTGTTTAACACTTTGCGGCACAGTGTGTCCGGTCTGGACATACCTACAAGTTTCCTTCTGTATGCACAGAAAAATTGAATGAAAAAGGATTTATATGTTACTATAGGTTACTCTGAACCTTCTTTATTTATAGTAGATGGCAGCTCAACACAAACCAGTCGATATACTTTAGCCATGTTTAGTTTTTTAAGACCCTCATTTTTCAAAGAAATCTTCCAGATTTTTTTTTTTTTTTTGACTATAAAACGAATTGTTTGAAAAGAAATTTCTATGTTTTTTTTTTTTTTTTTTTTTTTTTTGGGCTGTCTGCTAATCTCTTTATTCTATACTAGTTTTAAATTTTTACCTTGAAATCTTGCCTAAAATCAAACGGCGAACCCTAGGTGTGCCCAGACCGGGCTCACCGATAATCTAGGACAACTGAGAGACTGTTGTTTCTCTGCATTTCATCGGTCAGTTCATTGACAGCAATGCTCGTTTCAGCACTCTTTTCGAAGGTCTATTCAATCAGTGTGCCCACTTTGGGCACACCCACAGAATTAAAACGATAAGTGCTATCTTCACAAAATTTTATTTGTGTACTCCTCTAGGCCTAATTAGACTGCCTACCTTTTTTTTTTTTTTTTTTTTTAAATCAAAACTCCAACTTTAAAAGGTAGCGTGCCGGAAAGGGTTAACAGCAGACTAGTAGCCTGCGAGCTCAGCGAGAGTGTAAAAAAAACCTTTAAATTATTTTGGGTGTCTGTTAAAATTTGAACATTTTCAGACTTTTTTTAGCATAAATTCATAAGGTTTTCTTTAGGTTTTATGTTAACACAGGTCTTTACTGGATAGCATAGTATTTAAAACAAAATTAATGAATATACATATATAGTTCATTCTATGAAAGTTATAATTAAAATTAAAATTATAGCTAATGACAGGACATACCTCGATTTGCAATTACCAATTAACCAGGCTTCCTCCCCCCCAATAAACAACAAAAATATATCACCTTCCTAAAAATATCTTCAAAACAGCAAAATTTGCCGTTGGTTTATATGTTTTGAGCCAGAACAATTAAAACAATTATTAAATTTAAGATTGCCCACATACACAAGTTTTCTTGCAAAGTCTTAAAAAATTGACAAAGATGAATTAGCATTGAATACTGTAATCCCCAGCCAACTGTGTGGAGAAACTTGAATTGCGATGGAATAATGCATCCACATCATGCTCAGATTCTATTTCCTATGGACAAGGTTGTTGTAATGTGTGCAATGTCCTTTTGAAGGTATTGAATTTGGGACCAACCATTATTTGCAAAATGATCTTCAGCAACAAAATGACTCTTTATGCATAGATACGCAAACCAACAAGATTATGCCATCTGGAAAAGAAAGAATCTCTACGTAACACACAAACACAAAAAAAAATCCTGTCCTAAAAACAATGTCTGGTGTGCAGCTCCTGCAATTAGAACATCAGGGCCATATTTTTTAATAATGCCACTATTACTAGCGATGATATTTTACAACTGACAGAAACCTACATAAAAGACAATCTATCACCCTAAAACCTAACAGTTTAAATACTTTAGCTGTATGATGCTCCACCTCACTCTGCTAAGAATACCTATGCCTGTTTTAGCATAACATTTCAGGGTGATAGACTGGAAAAGCTTGTTTCCTCAATCGATCCTTGGCCATCGAGAAATGTGTGGCGACATTCTGAGATGATGCTGTAGTTGAAAACATGTTTCCGGATTCAAAATAAGAGCAATAATAAAATATTTATGAGCAAAGAAATGTCAATAAACGAAAGTCATCAGTATTTCTAAATTTCTAAGCAATATCTTAGTTGGGCTCACTTAGGAGCAGTCAGAAGAGATGATGAATAAATAAACATGATAGAAATCAGACATCTCATTTTATCATTAAAGTGATCAAAGTTGCAATTTTTGATAAACTTTTCAGTGATATTCACTGGAAAAGTTCTCATACTCATCTTCTGGTATTCAGGTTCTTAGACAGAACACATACAAATCAATACTAAGAAAACAATACAATGTTCGATATAAATTATGATATCTGCTAGACAAGGATGCTGAATACTACAAATGAGATCATATCTCGCATATGAGATAAGGAGGCAGGCAGTTTTTAGCTCATGTTTGTTTGCTAAACTACTTTTCCACTCGGTTAATCAGTTATCTGGTACTCACTTGATATGTAGCATCAATACGGAAACAGCTGCAACAAAATAACTCTATATCAGCAATCATGTAAATTTTTATGGTTGAAACGAAAAGTGCTTCAATAATCTGATAAATGTTTTGGTGATTCAGCCAATAAATGGTTTTTCATATCATTTACCAAATTGCAAAACATTTCTTAGAAGGTGTGAATTGTTTCTTTCCCTGAGATGTGCAATACTTTTTCCTTAATACTCCTCATAAAATATAATCGCTATTATATAATCCTCTTGCAAAACTAAGCTCAGAGAAAGAGGATCTTAATTAAAGCATACTAGAACACAAGGAGAGAAGCTACTGGAAAAATGTTTATCTGGAGGAAGAAAAAAAAAGTTACATTAAAATACACTGCACACACCTAATTATGTTTTTTCTTAAACAGATTCATATAAGCAAATCTCAGCTAAAGCATCGTCATCCAAGATTCAAGAACAAAATTAGTAATAAAAATATTTGTAAAAAATCAGAAATACTATTAAAAGATTTCATTACTTCTGCCTTTTAAAAATCCATTAGACTGAATTCTTATCAAAATCAAAATCAGGCAGTGAAAATTAATTAAAAATTTATGTAATATTTAATTATATTTCTTACTCTTTCTTTCAGGCTACAAAACATTATACCACAGATAAAATAAATTTCATCGATTTGTCATTCCTTTACACAAACAGAAAATACATAAACTTACTGAATACATGCCGAAGATCTAATCTAACTAGCAACCACTCACGACGATCTCTGACTGATCCAAAAAGTGTGAAAGTGGTAGTTTTTTCCCCTTGCTCAGTCATTAAGCCATAGATTCTGATTGGTTTGCTACCATCAGAAACAAATTTTACTGAATCCCATGTTTCTCCATCATCAGTTGAATATCTGTAAAAATATACACATTTCATTACTTTTGTAGCATGTTTTATCTTTCACATTTTAAGTTATCTGTTTTAAATTATAATATGAATTCTACAACTTGTAGATTGACTTACAATACTTCATCCGTTTCTTGATGGATAAATGATGAAACAGCTACAATAATTCCTCCATAATCCCCAACCATATAAATGTAACTGCCATCCAGCACCTAGGAAATCAGAAAGTTTTTTTTTTTTTCCCTTCTAAAGTTTAAAACTGATGTAATCCTTCAGTAAATAAATAAACAAAAGATAAACTCATTTTTACAAATTTTGAAAACATTTCTTTAAAAAACAAATTCCAGAACAAACTTTCAAGATTTTTTTTTACTTAATTCTTGAAAGTTTATTTTAGAAAAATGTCTATTTTTCTTTTCTTTTTTCTAATAATCACACACATACACAATTCATCAAACAAACAAGAAAACTACCATTCATAATAAAAATAAAGGTTTATCTCAAATCGTACTCAGTAAAAAATGGAAGAAAACAGTAATCAATTAAAGAGAGCAAACAATAAGTCCTTACCTCACGCCAGTTAATTCCAGCATCTGATGAAACAAACACACGGGGATGGCCTTTCAATGATTTACCGACAACGCCTTAAAAAAACAACGTACAAACTATACAAAATGATAAGAAATCTAATGATTATACAAAGCTAAGTATTTGATTTCATATATTAAACTAATATGGAAGATTAATTTACTGAAATAATAATAACTGACTGCAAAATATTTACCACTAAATTAAAAATTTATTATTTTGTAGGAAAGTATTTATTACTTACAGAATTTCAAAGAAATTAAATTTCACTAAAAGTATGAAAACCAAACACTGCACATATTAAATGACTAATCAGTAAAGCAGAAGAAAAATCATGTGGATTCTTTTTAACTCCAAGTCATGTTTCCCATCAGTCTCACATGCAATTACATGTTAAAAATAATCAATATGACAAAGAATCATAAGGTATATTACAGATTTAATGAAATAAAAATAATGATACTGATAATAATAATAATAATTAAAAAATCTGATGTGTACACCACATGACTTCCTTGTACGGAATATTAAATTATACGCAATTTTTCTTGCATTTCATTTAAACTTATTGGATTAAATTAAATCTACTTCGCCGACAGTGTATAAACCACAATAGAATAAATGCATTCTTTAAAATTCACACTAGTATTTGTTTATCATTGTGACACTCTGGCGCTAGATTCACTTAACAGTATTATATTTCATTCATATTATAACTCATAATGCACAAAATTTATATCATTTAAAGAATATAATTATCTAATTGTTGCCACATGTTCTATTCAAATACTATAATAAATAATAAAGCTAGAATGATGTATAAAAGAAATTAAGCAAATAAAACAAAAAAGAAACAGTTTTTCACAGACAATTGAGTATTTCTCATTCAATTAATTCAGTTCTCACTTCGCGAGAAGGCAAAAATACATAAAAACTCAAAATATCTATATTAAAAATTATGAAGTAAATCTTAAACACTTATTTCCTCGAAAAAAATTCCAGAAAGGATTAAGCATGATTTAATTTGCAATAATAAATGAAGGCATTATCTTTGTTGTTGCGAAGCTAAGTTTCTTTAGATTGGCAACAAATCCACTAGTCTGCTGTTTCAAATGTAAACAATCAATGGCTGCCGTCAAAAAAACGTTTAGCAGCACTTAAACAACTTTAAAATTGTTGATAATTCTAAAAATATTGCACACAGATTTACTAAAGGCATAAAAACTTTAACTGGAAGATAAAACAACATAATTCAATCATTTTTAAAGCAAAAAATGTACAATTTACAAACATATAAGAGTAAAGAAACTGAGATCACTGAACTGGATAACAGAGTGGATATATATATAAATATATTTATATACGTTTGGTGCGGCCGATTGCAACCAAAATACGAGGCGTACATCTACGTTATAGCAGTCCTATATACAAAATTTCAACATTCTGAGGCTACTCGTTTTTGAGTTATGCGAGATACGTACGTACGCACATACGTTCGTACAGACGCCACAAAAAAGTCTCTTCAGAATTAATTTTAACGTAGTTTTATAACTTTTTCGGAGGAAACGAGTCTTTTATTCTGTCCTTACGTATAGATATCATGCAAAAACATCATTAAATTGCATTCGATAGCCGTCAAAATGGATATTTTCGTTGAAATATGCTGCCTGAAACTTTTCGAGATTACAATACTTCCTTTTTACTTCGTACAAGGAAGTAAAAAACAGTTAAAATTGTGAAGGATATGCCATTACAATGCCAAATAAAATTACAGCTACAGACTGAGATCAGTGTAACACTGATGAAAAACAGATTTTTCAATACTTTGGTATCAGCTAACAACTGTTGTGACAATGCCACTAATACAACTCATCAGTCCTAGGAAGTATTGCAGCAACTCTAGAAAATGTTCCGAACTTTTCTAAAACAATGTGATTTCTCTCTCCCTCTTTTTTTTTTTTTTTTTTTTTTTTTTTTTTTTTTTGTTTTTGTTAAGGAGGAGGGGCAGAATGACATCTTTTTAATTTAAACATCTATTTTAGATCAACTAAAGCAAGCCCAAATCAGCATTATACCATACCTTTTATTTATCTTGTGTTAACCTCTTAAAGGCCAACAAGGCATATACACCTAACTACTGTTTATTTTTAATTTAGTGGGGCGAATAAGCTCCTTACATTGCAATGTTTCAAAAACACGTTTCAGACACTCAACCAACTTCATGTCTGTTAGCATATCTCATAACTTAAATTTTCGCTTTTACATGTATGTTCAGTCTTACCTCCCTGATATATGAACTGCAAAATGTAGAAAATGCTTCCAGAGTGCAGTGCAGTGAAAAAACGGAATAACCCAGCGTTTGTTCTCACTTTGGAGAAGTGAGTGTTCAGTGTTCCCGCCTTTGTGGCGAAAGTGTTAAAGTAATTACAGAGATGTGAAATAAAGCTACAGTCCTAAACTTTATAAGTGTTTTCGAGTTATGGAGAAGCTGTGAGTTATAATATGAACTTTCAATGTGCATAGAATTATTGCAGTTTTAAAAGAAACTGAAGACAATTTTTGCAACTTATTAAATGTTTTCAATTACTATTATGATAAATTGGCATATTAAAATAAACATAAAATTATAACTGTAACAAGTAAAAAGTATTGATATTTAGTTGTTGTGTAGCTATTGAAGAAATTATATGCAAGCCACTGGTATTTTTCCGCATAAGCAAAAGAAAATTGACTCACACTTGAACTTAAGTTCTTAGCTACTTTCTAAAATTAGCATGATTGCCTGAAGTATCATTATGTGCATGGCTATCAGAGGTTGACTTATTCTGAAAATCTGGTAACTTCTACTAAGTTAAGTTGCAATAATATGTAAATTAAAAAAAAAGTTTAATTTATTTATTGATATTTTAAATGTATTTCATCATGAAAAGATGTCAAAAGATTGTTGATGATGCAAACTAATATTAACTTTTCTCAGGCAGTTTAAAATTTAAGAATTAGATATGATATATTAGGTGGTAGAGCTTCATTTATTTAAAAAAAAAATAGAATTTAAAAAAAATACTATAAATGTCAGGAAAGTTACTTCCAATAAATTAACTAGGCTTACCTGAAGCAACTATTAAACCAACAGCTGATACTTTGCTTAAAATGGGCGGTGCACGGTATCTCTGATACAACTGACTGAATTTCTGAGTTAAATGTAAGGAACATCCATCATTCTTAAAAAACAAAAAGGATTACAATTCATACAGGTTTAGTTCATGAATTCAATATTTCTTTTACTATAATAAAATAGAAGTAGTAGCTCAAAATAATGATAGAACTTACTATGTCACATTTAATAGGATTATCCTCTTTGTCTATAGGAGGAGGCTTCAACAGGCTCCATTCTCCCCCTTTATCAAAAGTGATGACAGAAATCAAATCCTCAGAAGTTGTATTTGAACCAGCACGCTGTTTCAACTGAGTCGCAATATAAACACCTCGTAGACCATGCACTTTATGTATATCAGCAAGACGCTCCTCACTAAAATTATTTTTTTTAAAAAATAATATATGCGCTAGGCTAGAAATTTTCTAAACATAAAGAAAAAATTAATACTTAAACAGGGTGAAACATTTTTGATAACCCATTTGAAAATAATATACTGGACCCTAGAGACAGCTCCAAACAATTTATTTATTTATTATTATTATTATTTTTTTTTTTTTGGCTAAACTTGTTCATTAACATACATGCCACTACTATACTTTGTGTGCATTTCGTATAGTAATTTGTGAAACAAATTCACAGTCTCTTCCTGATTCATTCCTTCATTAGACATTAGACGTTCATTAGACAGCTCCAAACAATTTATTTATTTATTTATTATTATTATTATTATTTTTTTTTGGCTAAACTTGTTCATTAACATACATGCCACTACTATACTTCGTATAGTAACTTGTGAAACAAATTCACAGTCTCTTCCTGATTCATTCCTTCAGCTGTTTCACACTTACCACTCTCATTACAAGCACTCATTCTTCTCTGAATGTTCTCTAGTATTCCCATTGTCCTTCTTCATGGATGTCATTTTGCATAATTCCATTATTACATCACTGTCTCACCCATGCACTAACTGCCTTCCCATTAGAAATTTTCCTTTACCATTTCTTATCACAAAACTCCTTTCTAAAGGCTCACTGTAAAGTTATGACCTCATTTCAAAAAATTTTTTCATATAAAAAACCTACTATATATGGGCCAGTGCTCCATAGCTACTAATATTCAAATTCATACAACACAAAATACATATTGTCACATGGGTCAGCACTTACTGGCTATTGATAGTCGAAATCCCCAAGTTGGCTGCACCAGTCTTCCAGAATCCGGCCATACAGAGTAGCCAACTCTCCCAACATAGAAATATTTGAAAAATATTAATTTTCCAAACAAAATGTTTCACAGAAAACTATCATATGCACACCAAGTGCAGTAGTAAAGCCTATGGGTCATGTATGTAAATGGACAAATAAGATAAGTAATGCAAAAATAAAATAAAGCGTCTGGAATTGCACATTGTTTATATGTTCAAGTATATGTTTTAAATAGGAAACCAAAAGTGTTTCCTGTATATAAACTAAACAACAAAATGCAAAGAACTTTCAGAAGTTTAAAAAATTTAATACATTTTCTTCAAGCTCCATCATATTGTTACGAAATGTACCGGAGCTGTAAGGTGGCTTCCCCGCAAGGCAGTTTTAGGGTTGCCAAGGGGTGGCAGGGTTGCCACATTTGTCAAGAAATCGCTTGGCGACATAAATGGTGATGTGCCATGGACGGATGGAGAGCCTTCTGGAACGGGTTCTTTCTGGTTTCGCCTGGAATATTCTCGAGCACAGGCCGGGGGCTATATGGTTCCTGCTGGTCCGCAGTCAGTAAAGAGTGTGCCTCGTCGAGAGGGCGAGTGAGAGTGCGAGATAGTCAGTATCCAGCTGGTGTCTCATCTAGCGAGTCAATCCCTGCGGAGTCGATCGAGTTGACAGACGGGCAGTGAGTGCCGAGTGGGTCGTCGAGTTCACCGAAGGAGTCTGTTAGAGTATCGCGGTTAGTGCATCATCGAGAGGGCGTCGATCGTTGAGCTCTGGGAACGACTGAACCGAAGAGTCGGGAGCTGTGCGAATGTTGTCGACTGCATTGCAAGTTGTAGCGTAGAGAGTCTCGAGAGTTCCGAGAGAATGACCAAGCAGAGTCGGGAGCTGTACTTTGCTGTGAAGCTGTCTCCACCGTGATAGCCTGATAACCTGGAAGCTGTGTGGCTGATCGTGTCAGCGTGTTTATAGTAGTTCATCGACGACTGTAAACGTGTTTTGGAGCTGTACTGACAATACTGGCCAATAAAGTGTGTTTTGATACTTCGTCAAGTAGTGTCGTCGTTATTCACTCTAAATCCTCACGAACGCCGTAACAACTGGTGTCAGAAGTGGGATTTGTGAGTGAATGCCAGTGACCCGCCTGCAGAGGAAAGCCATGGCGGAAGAAATGAAGACTTTGATGGACATTTTAGCTGAGATAAAAGCCAGATATGTTATGATGAGGGCTGAGATGAAAGCTGGATATGAAGAGATGAAGGCTGAAATGAAAGCTGGACTGGTTGAGATAAAAGCCGGATATGATGAGATAAAAGCTGGATATAAAGAGATGACAGCTGAGATCAAAACCGGACTGAAAGAGATGAAAGCCGGACTGGAAGAGAAGAAAAAGAAAACCCGACGAGAAGAAACAAATGTCGGCCAAGAAAAGGTGCGAGAGGAATTCCGACAGGTAAAAGGGGAGCTTACAGAAGAAACTAGAGCCATAAAAGACGATGTAGAAATGAAGGAAGTAGCTAACAAACTGCCCGAGAAAGATCAAGAAATAATGGATGAAACATCTAACAGGATTAAAGGAAAACAACAAAAACATGAAGAAATAAAAAATGGGAAAAAAGCTTTCGATTTTCAAGTGCCTGAAGTGGAAGAAAATGAAAATGTGACTGTTAAGTTCGTCAAAACTGATAGTGAAATTACCAAGCCACAGTTAGCAAGTATTGAAACATCTGAAAATTCATGTGGTGCTGAGATGGAAGAAACTGATTTACAACTTACACAGAGTGCTCCAGTATTGCGAGAAAATTCACTCATTTCGCAAACTGGATGTGCGTCTCATAGTGCAGATTTTGTAGACAAGGACTTGATTCTAAACCCAGATACTTCTGCTTGTAAAGGATCGGATTCTATTCGCGACCCTGGCGCAAAGATCGGAACTGGTTCTCCGGAAACGTAGGAAAATGTGCATGTACCAGCTGCTGAAAATGCCGAGGTGAACTTTACACACGATGCGAACAAACTTCAGAGTGGTGAACAAATTGTTTCAGATCTTTCTGTGGATGAAAAGTCTCAAAGGACTGAATCTTCATACTGTGATATGCAAAACAGAAATGCATCTGAGAACTGCAGTGGAAAAGTATTTGACCCGGGTATATTTTATATAAACTGAGATTGCAATTCATTCTGAACTTTAATGCATATAATTTAAAATTGTTATGTATCTAATTTGTGTATATAACTTATATATCGTGTAAATATTTGCTTCTTTAGTTATGTTATTTGTTTGCTTTAGAACCTTTTGTTTGTATCGAATTATGCTTCTGACCAAGGGTTGTTCTGCCCGGGAGGTGCAGTCCTTGGGAGGGGGCAGTATTACGAAATGTAGAGGAGCGGTAAGGTGGCTTCCCCGCAAGGCAGTTTTAGGGTTGTCATAGGGTGGCAGGGTTGCCACATTGGCGAGAAATTGGCTATTTGGTGCCATAATTGGCGATGTGCCATGAATGGATGGAGAGCCTTCTGGAACGGGTTCTTCCCGGTTTGACCCGGAATGTTCTCGAGCACAGGCCGGGGGGCTACATGGTCCCTGCTGGTGTGCAGTAAGTATAGAGTGTGCCTCATCGAGAGGGTGAGTGAGAGTGCCACGCCTAGAGTGCGAGATAGTCAGTATCGAGTTGGTGTCTCGTCTAGCAAGTCAATCCCTGTGGCATCGATCAAGATGACAGCCGGGCAGCGAGTGCCAAGTTCATCGAAGGAGTCTGTTAGTGTATCGCGGTTAGTGCATCGTCAAGAGAGCATGTTGAGCTCTGGGAACGACTGAACCGAAGAATCGAGAGCTGCGCTCTGAGTATCGTCGAGTGCATAGCGAGTTGTAGCGTGGAGAGTCTCGAGAGTATGTATAGTTCCGAGAACAACCAAGCAGAGTTGGGAGCTGTACTCCCAATTCTGCTTTGCCATGAAGCTGTCTCCACCGTGATAGCCTGATAAACTGGATCCTGTGTCGCTGATCATGTCAGCGTGTTTATAGTAGTTTATCGACGACTGTAAACGTACTTTGGAGCTGCTCTGACAATACTGGCCAATAAAGTGTGTTTTGATACTTCATCAAGTAGTGTCATCGTTATTCACTCCAAATCTATATGAACCCTGTACGAACGCGAAGGAAGAATATAACGCAACAACTGGTGTCAGAAGAGAAAAACGCAACAATATGATTTACAATCTCTTTAGCAATATATAAATGGCTCATTTGCAAGTTTCAGGTAGATCCTTTTTTAGTTGTTGTTGTATTTACTTTCCTCCCATCTGATTAGGAGAAAAATATAGCTTACATATTTATAAGCTTAATCTCTTGTTATCTAGTAATTATTTTGAACTTTTAATTTCATTGTTTTATTTCTGCAGTAAGGAATTCTCATACTTTCTTTGCAAGTGGTTAGGTCCAGCTAGCAATTGGAAGATTCATGGTCAATCCCTGGCAAAACTACTGTTAATATTTTGTGTTTCCTAGATGATAATTCACCATCACCTGCAGTGGGTCAACTGATTTTCATGCCTGAAGATTGTAAGGAATTATCACATTACTCTCCGTGTGTGTTCTCGATGCTTAAATGGTTAGCATGCACATCTAACAAGTGGAAGATCAAATTCAAATCTGAGAAACCAAAGCTGATTTTTCATTTTTCCTTTTTTTTAAATCCAAAGAAATTGTTTAAACTGACTTTTACGAGTTAAATGATTTCATTACAACAAATCTGCATTAACCTTTTGAGTAGCATTTTTTGATTTGCTCAAAAGAACTTATTCCCACCATCATTCATTAGCTAACTCTGCATTTCGTACCGGACTCTTTAATTTGCATATCTTTCATTCATTAAGGTGATACTTAAATCATTAAAATAACAGAGAGCAAAATATTTTAAAGAATTAAGTCATATATACAAACAGTCACAAATCTTATGAATGGATAAAAGTGATCATGTCACTCAGAGGGTTAACAAGCATGAGAACTACCGTTAACTAAAGAATGCATATAAATAAATAAAAATATAACCTCTGGAAATTGCTGTCTTTAGCTTGAGAGCTTACATAAAGAATGTTCTCCAAAGAAAGGGAAAATTTCATCCTCTGAACATCAGATATGTATAAATTTGTAGTTGTTTCACTATGCATGACACAGGCAAATACTTGGTCATCAGAAGCATCCACAATGTAAATTTCCTATATAATAATTAACAAAAATTAATATTCCTGTAAAATATGACCTGTTTAAAATTTTAAACATATACTAAATTTATTTTTAACTGTACTTGCATTTATTGTGTTATTTAATGCTTAACCTGCTAATGACCGACACTGCATTTTTTGCAACATTAGTGAAAACACTTTTATTTTACTTCTGTTTTTTTCTTTAATTTTTTTGTATATTGTAGATAAAACTTCAATGATTCTGGGCAAAAAAATATTGGTCTCCTATTAAAAATCTTTATGGAAATAAAATTGCTGAAACTTTTTTGCAAAGTCTTTTTTCTTTCAGATAGACAGCACAAACAATCAAATGATTTTATGAAGACATGCGAATTTTCTAGAAACATTAGACAGTAAGATGGAGTCAAAAGGTGAGGTTATTATTTTATCTATGTTGGTATAAATACGCTTTTTTTAAATATTGCAAATACGGAATATCAGTTCAAAGTAGTGTCTTTATGAATAAACACTACTTTGTGGATATTGGCATTTTCTTTTACAAATTCCACAAAACAACAGTTCTAAAATTATGGATAACCAAGACAATAGTTTTTTAACTTCTAATGAAGCACTGAAATTTTTGAAAGAGTCAGATGAAGATCATGTTTTAGAGTTTTCATCAGATGATGATGCCCAAGCAGAAACAGATTTAATGACCAACAGAGAATGCAACGATAATGATGTGTTAAGTCATAATTTTCAATGCCCAAAATTCAATGTCAGGCTAATTCAAGATGTTTTCATCTAAAAAAATGGGAAAAAATGTATCAAACTTATCAAAAAATGATAAAAAAAACTTTTGAATCATCTATAAAAAAGAAACTGGTAGGAAAAATTTTTCTGCATATGCAGTGATGTCAGTCAATAAAGAATCCACAGAAAAGGCAAAAAAAGAAAATAATTTTAGAAAAAATGCCTGATCAAAAAATGCATGATAGAAACATATCTACAGTTGAACAAACAGAATCTTTTGGAACATATCACCCAAGAATGTCCAAAATATACAAATCAGAAAAACTGGCAATTTTTTTTCTCTTTCTGTTAAGAGTGTAAATGTTAAAGAGCTTTATAGGCTTTCTACTGGCTATGTTTGTCTTTTTCATAAAAGACTTGACTGGTCATTTGTTAAAGATGTCAGTTGTCTATTAGTATGTGCAGCAATGATATGCTCTACATATACTAATATCAAGAAAAACTTGCATTTAGCTGATAATAATTGATTGGATAAAACCAAAAACCTAGCTCAAGTTTGCCATATTTAAATAGTTAAACACCAATTTCATGCAGTATAAGGTTTTTTCAACACATCCTACTATTAATGAGCAAATGATATCTTAGTTTTGTGTTTGGGTCTTATGAAGGGTACTTACACCATTTTGATGCATATTTAGGAAAATCTTCAGAGAAACTGATTGATCTTGGACTAGGTGAAGATGTTATCACAGATATTTTAAATGTGATGGACATCACAGATATTTTAGATGTGATTCAAATCATTACGTATATTTCAACAATTTTTTTACGTCACAAATGTTATTATCAGAATCGAATGAGCTAGGGTTCCTTGCAGTTGGATCAATTTGTAAGAACAGATCAGGAAAATATCCTATTACAGCTGTAAAGAAAAAAGAAATTGGAACATATAACATTGCAGTAGTTTGACGGAATGACAATTCCATCCTAACTATGGCAACTAACTTTAATACAACTGATCCACATTCAGCTGCCAAGAGATACTCAAAAGAAAACCAAACCGTATTCATAAAGTAACCTAAACATATTGGAAATCACAATAAATATATGGATGATGAAGACCTCCTAGACAATTCTGTTGTGATGTATATAGAATGCAAACAAAACATGAAAAATGGAGGCGGCCTATTTTTGCCAATTTTATTGATACAACTAAATTAAATGTTGCAAGTTTTATAAGATTGCTGTAGACACCCGAATTCTTCTGTTAGATTTGCCAAGAAACAGTGTGCTGGCATTGCTGAAAACAAGAGAAGAAAATTCTGATAAACTGCAGAATTCAGCTTCATATACTAATTGTGATGGACAACTATCTTTCTCTTAGAATTTAGCCTTAAGTAAAATGAGAAAGGACCTCATGAATAATGAGAAAGATTTGGAAAAAAAAAAAAAAAACCACTCAGATACCATATTAGTCAAATGATAATTGTTTGTAATAAATGTAATCTGCCTTTGTATAGTAAATATTTCAAAGATTTCCATGTATCCCAAAAGTGATCGGTTTTGAATGTCACATTTTCGCAACATTTTTTACGTTCAATAAAAATAATTTTTTTCCCCCGTTACATTTTTTCTCTTAATTACTCTCTTAATATATCAAAAAACTAATTTTTTGTTTATTTCCTTCAAGTGAAAGGCAATACAGTAACTAACGGGTTAACCAGTAATTATAAATTATTATTTAAATCTAGATTCTAAAATTTAATATAGTACATTATTATTAATATTTAATACAATAACACTGCAAAATTTCAAGGCATGAGACTTTTAAACTAAAGAATGAATAATTATTAAAAAAATAATAACTATTTAGAATATTAATAAAATCATAATTTCAAAAACATGTAAAAACATTTGGCTTACTAAGAATACCTAGAATAAAAATAAAATTAATTAATAATTAAATACACAAGATAAATCTCTGAATAATTAAACACAATTAAAAAGACTGAAGCATAAGCACATTTGATGAAAAGGAGAAGGAAGTAATTTAAAGTATGATGTTTGTCTTGTTTTAAATTATTTAATACAATATAACTTAATTCACAGATATGTAAAATCATCCATCAAAGAATGGTGGAATTTGTTTAGGTTTTTAGTGGCGAGTCATGCTAAGTGACAAATGAGCGTGCATTGCTGCTGATATATAGCAACTCTAAGGAGATTTTGCAGGAGCGCAAAGAGAACAAAGACCGTTTGTCAAGTGGTGCGCATTTGAAGTCTTGAAATAAAGAACAGTTTTTATTGTGTATTATGCCTGATTGAAGTTCTTGATAAATGCAGCTAGCATATTTAATGTACTATGGACAACGAAGATCCTCAGCTTTCAATAATGGTGACTTCTGGACATTGATAAATCAGATCTTGTGAAAAGTTTGCAAGTACTTTTGTTTTTGAAAACTCACCATTTCTCAAGATTTCCTAACCAAAAGTTATGGATGATACTGCCTTTTATACCCCCGGATCATAGATGAGTACAGTCAAATACCAAAAATCCGTGTCGCCTCTCAAAATATAAAGATTCAATTTATAGGTTCCGGAAACTGCAACATGTAGAACAAAATACTGAAGAAAAAATACTTACCGAATAATGACATCATAATTACCAATAATAATGAGTCATAGTAAAAATACCAAATTACTGACATCAGGGTAAATGTTTTCTCCCTCCAATCTGTATCGAGGTAAAAAAGCAGATGATTCACTCATCTCTTCTTTCAAGTTAACAATTCACGTTGCATCTCCAGAGCTTTGTTATCACGAGATTGTTTAATGCTGCCATTTTTGTTTCTTTTTTTATCGGGTTACTTTGTGGATAAATTAAAAATATTTTAAATTTCAGCACTTTTTAAGAAAATGACAGATAAGAAATGCAATTATGACTTTACTGCTTGCAACATTGAAAAACATAAACACGTTGCATTGACAGTAATGCAAAAAGTGAAAATTCTGCAAAAGATGGATGCAGGTATTACTCCTCGGTTGTAGCAGAATCTTATGGAACTGTAATACAGACCATGTATGATATACAGAAAAATGAAGAAAAGCTGTTGAAATTTTACAGCAACAGTGATTTTAACACCGGAATCCAAAACCTGAATTCTTTGCAAGAAGCAAAATCGGCAAACTTTGACGCTGTCTTGTCCCAGTGGTTCTGGCAGTGGCAGAGTGGCAGTGCCAATTTCAGGACCACTCCTGAGAGAAAATGGAAAACAGATTCCTGCTGATTTAAAAATAGAGGAGCCCTGCGATTTCAGCAGCGGTTGGCTGAACAGTTTTAAGAAGAGACATTGTATTCGTTACCCGAAAGCATGTGGGGGGGGGACATTAAGCAGATAAAGATGCTGCAGAGGAAATTATTGATGAATTTTCTGTGTTAGTGGTAAAAAAATCTTAGTGCAGAACATGTTTTCAGTATGGACAAGACTGGACTTTTTTGGCGGTGTTCGCCAAGAAAGACATCTGTGACAAGCAAAGAAAGCACACCATCAGGAGTGAAAGAAGCTAAAGAAAGAGTTACTATTTTGATATGCAGCTGGAACTTACAAATGTAATGTAGTGAGTATGAGCACCAATCACAGAGCTCTGAAAGGAGTAAAATTTTTACCTGTGATTTACAGGAATAATGAAAATTCCTGCTTCACAAAACAAACTTATGACTGAATGGTTCATGGAGCATTTCATTAAAGAGGCTAGAAGGCATTGTAACAGTGTGGGGTTACCATCAGATTGCAAGATTTTTACTATTGTTAGACAACTGCTCTGCACATCCAGATGCAACCATTTTAACGAGTGATAAAGTCATGGCCCTTTTTTTGCCTCCAAATACTACATCAACAATCCAACCAATGGACCAGGATGTAATACACAGTGGTAAGACTCGCCTCACGCTAGAAGGTGCTGAGAGCGCCATTGAGAGTGTGCTGAGATTCAATGAAAGTTACTCGATGGATGATGTGCGATTTCTGAGAATGAGATATTATTATATTTAATTAAATCAATTTATATTTTATTGATTGGTAATTATTGATTTTGATTTATTGATATGAGATGTGATATGTTTTGCTGAACCACCACACTTTCGACAAACTTGGATTACCACTGAATCTTAAACTACCGATGCACATTTGGTGCATCTATGCCAAAAACCAGGTAAGAGAATCTTTATTGAATTATTGAAACTGAATTATACCTGGATAGAAATTAAATATGGCTGAAAA